AGGTAAACTCTTAGAGGTCATTAGATGACATAGAGGAGCCATGGGTTGGATGGTTTCAAACCTAAAGGGTATTACCCTAGTATGTGTATGCATTATATTTATGTAGAGGAAGGAGCTAAGCCTACGAGGGATATACAACAAAGTCTCAACCCCAACATAAAAGAGGTAGTACAAGATACAAGAAGAGGTGATTAAATTGTTAGATATAAATTATTTATGTTATTTCAGATAGCGAATAGATTAGCCCAACTCATGTGGTACTTAAGAAATCTGGTCTCACAGTGATTAAGAATGAGAAGGGGGAAGAATTACATACCAAATTGACTACCAAATGGAGAGTGTGTATCAATTGTAGGAAGTTGAATTTGGTGACTAAGAAAGATCATTTTTTACTTCCTTTTATAGATCAGATTTTCGAAGAAAGATCATACCTAGATAGTGAATGGATCACCTAACTCAAATGGTACTTGAGAAATCTGGTCTCATAGTGATTAAGAATGAGAAGAGAGAAGAGTTACATACCAAATTAACCACCGAATAGAAAGTGTGTATCTATTATAGGAAGCTAAATTTGAATTTTCAAGTTATTGTGAATCTTGTTAAGAAGAATTTGATGCCAATGAATCTAATTTTAAAAGTAGAGATCTTTGATGTGTGGTGAATTGATTTTATATGTACATTTTCACTTTTTGCTGGATATGAGTATATTCTTATGGTTGTAGACTATAGTCTACAGGCACAAGAATATCTGGACTAATGATCATAAGGTTGTAGTTAAATTTATATAGACTAACATTTTTTCTAGGTTTGGATGTCTGCAAGCAATCATCAATAATGGAGGATCACACTTCATGAATCAATACTTTGCAACACCATTAAGAAAGTATGAAGTCCATCACAAAGTGTCTACACCTTATCATCCACAAATAAATGAGCAAACTGAAGTGAGCAATCATGAAATTAAGAAGATACTTCAGAAGATCGTCAAGTCAAATAGTAAGGATTGAGCTAAGAAGTTGAATTATGCATTATGGACTTATAAAACCACTTATAAGACACCCATAGGTGTGTCACCATATCGTTTAATTTTTGACAAACCTTGTCATCTACTTATAGAGATATAGCACAAGGCATATTAGACAATTAAACAACTCAACATAGACCTCACACAAGCAAGAAAGTATCGAATGTTGAAGTTAAATGAGTTAGAAGAACTCTACAATTAAACCTATGAGAGTTCAAAGATATACAAAGCCAAAACAAAAATTTCTCATGACAAACACATTGTTCGAAGGCAAATTTAGCCGAAACAAAAAGTTTGGCTTTACAATTCAAGACTATACTTATTTCTAGGAAAACTTAAGTCTAAATAGACATGTCCTTACATTGTAGTGGAAGCATATGATCATGGCGTCAAAATTTGGTTGCTTCAAGACGTCATAATTAAGGAGTGTCAAAAATAAAATTTATAATGTTCAGATGTCTTCCTAATTATACTAATGAGTACAATTTAAGGAATATTCAAGTCGAATCATAAGGAGTCGTCTAAACAAAGGTAAGATTTAACTTCTAACTAATATTGAATTTTGAATGAAGAATGAGATGAGGAGATAGAAGAGAGTTGACTTAGGCATACTAAAGGGGAAATAGATGAATCTTTTTTTGATGATTTTCAGTCATCAGGAGAAGGGAAATCAGGTGAGAAACAAATAGTGAAAGTTGAGATGATTGTGAACTTCTTAATCTTAATGTGCTTAAATAAAAACTCTAATCTCCTTAGATCTTCTTATGTCACCTAAGAGATCAATACAAAGACTAAAGTAGATTAATCTACTCCTGAACTACTTCCTAACCTCTCCTTGTCTCTCTCTACTTCCAATGAATGCTCAATTTTTATTAGTGGCCAAAATAATTCAAGTCTAAAATCATCAAGCCCTTTAAGAAAGATGAAATCTTTATGTGATATTTATAAATCATATGTTTTTACTCTTATGATTATAGAACCAACAAGCTATGAGGAGGCACAAGGCAAAGATGAATGAGAGAAAGTCATCCAAGAAGAAATTATAGTAATTTAGAAGAATGACACATAGGAGTTGATGAATTTATCACAAAAGATAAAAGCAATTGGAGTCAAGTGGGTTTACAAAGTGAAGTATAAATCGGATGACAAAGTTTAAAAATACAAGACAAGGTTAGTAGTAAAAAGATATGCATAGCAACAAGATATTGATTACTTTAAAGTATTTTATGCAGTTGTAAGATTTAAAGCAGTCCATATTATTTTAGTTGTGACAGCTCAAATGAAATGAATTTTTTTTGAATTTGATGTTAAATCAGTATTTTTGAATAGTTATTTGAATGAAAAAGTATATGCTGAAGATTTTATTCTTGAAGGAAGAGAGAACAAAATGTATAAATTGAAGAAGACACTTTATGACCTTAAACAAGCACCAAGAGCATAGTATAGTAGACTTGATTCATATTTTCACAAGTATCACTTTTATAGAAGTGGGAATGAGCCAACACTTTATATCAAGACTCAAGATAAATATATTTTGATAGTATGTGTTTATGTTGATGATATTATATATAGGGGATCTTCTTTGTTACTAATTTTAGATTTCAAGAATGATATGATGGTTGAATTTGATATAATAGATTTGTGATTACTTTATTACTTTCTTGGACTTCAAATTATTCAAAATGATCATAGTATATTTATTTTACAAGAGAAATATACATGTGACTTGTTGAAAAAGTTTAATATGTTTCATTGCAAGACTTGCTCTACTCTTATGAATATAAATGAAAACAATTGTCTTAATAATGAGACTACAAAAATAAATAAACACCTTTATAGAAGCATTATTGATGATTTGACGTATTTGACTCATACTCATTCAGTTGATATAATTTCAAAGTTTATGCACTCATCATCTATTCATCATCTTGGAGCAGTAAAAAGAATACTTCGATATGTGCATGACACCATTAATTATAGAATTCTATATCAATAGGTTGCTGAATTTAATTTTTTCAATTATTTAGATAGTGATTGAACAAGTACTATTGATGACAAAAAAGGTACAAGTGATTTTATTTTCAGCTTTGGTTCATGTGCAATCTCATTGATTTTTAAGAACCAAGAATCTACAACATTATCATCTTCTGAAACTGAATATATTACTACATCATTGGTTGCACAACAAGTAATATAGATGAGAAGGATTTTATAAGATATTAATATTTCACAGTCAATGCCTATAGTGATCTATTGTGATAACATATCAACTATTTCTATGTTGAAGAATCCAATATTTTATGAAAGAACAAAGCATATTGAGATAAGGTAGTATTTTATTTAAGATTTATGACAATTTTTTTATTGAAATGAAATTCTGTTCAACATTGGGTCAAGTGGCAAATGGCTTTAAAAGGGTGATGTGACATTCTAAATTCGTAAAATTTAGATAACCTCTTGGTCTTAAATGTTTTTTATATTAAGAGAGAGTGTTAGTATTTAATGCAAAAATATTTCTCATTTTTTGTCTTTATTAGGGTTTTCTTTTATTGTTTAGTGGGCTAAAGTTGTCGTGTCTTTAGTGGGCCATAAGTGGTTGTCGATTTAATGTATATGACTATAAATCTTAATCTCTCTTTTTATTTTAATATATTAAATATTTTGTCCTTTTCTAGGATTCATAAATGTTTGAACTGTCTCTTCTCTCTCTCTCTCTCTCTCTCTCTTGTCTATTTTTCTCTCCAAAATTATTGTTTTTGTTGTAGGTTTATTCTTTTATTTCCTATAGACCGTTACTAGTTGGACTAGTTGAAGCTCTTCTACGAGGTCAAACTGTCAGAGGAGATCATGACGAACACACTAGCCACCAACGTGGCTCAGGTAGAGTGGTGTCGCCTAAGTGGGTATAGTCAATAGAAATAAAGTTAACAATCAGAAAAAATAAATCGATTGAAATAAAGTTAAAAATTACAGCATTAAAAATAGATGTGGGGATTTTTTTCAAAATGTCATATTTTTATTTTAGTTTTCTCAGTTGAAGTTGCACGGTGGATAAATATTTCCTTTTTGTCTCTTTTTTTTCTTCAAGAGCATGCTGCCCTACATGCTGCAAATGGTGGCGGCGGTCGGCGGCAACTCCGGCGACCGTCGGTGGCACCAGCGGGGAACGGCGGCGGCACAGCGGCGGAGGTGGTCGATGCACATAGAAGAATAAGAAGTTCCCTCTCGGAAAAAAATTGGGTGAAGGTTTACTAATGAATATATATTCAAAATCATTCCATTCGGAATCTTTTGTTCTATCAAAGCGTCGGACTTCCAAAAGGGATCATATATTCTTTTTTCTCCCGCATTACAATGATCTGAATCTCCGAAGGCCATGAAAATGTCGGGTTTTGGCGGTCCGATAGGACCATATTGGATCCGATGGGACGATTGGGCGGCAGATCCGTTCGGACGGGCAGCGACTCGTGAAAGCCAGGACCAGGGCCGCGGGTCCCCGGTTCCCACGTGGCGGACCACCAGCCGTTTCTTTGTCGTCCGCGATGCCACGTTGGCGGCTGGGAGGTGCTCTTGAGCGTGATGTTTCCAGAAGCTTCGATGAAACTGGTGGCCACAAGCAACTGGCTCGCGCTAGAGGTCATTCTCATGCCACGTGTAAATGGGCGTGCGTGAGCCGTCCTACGTGGCGTCTGGTGCTCTACTCAACTCGTACGGGCGGGGTGCACCTGGCTTTCTTTCTGTGCTCTTCTTCCCTCCGGTGGCACGGGGAAATTAGGGCTCTCTCTCTCTCTCTCTGTCGCTCAGAGCTCCGTTTTGACTCTTCTGTAACACGAGCGGTGCTCCAGAGTGGGAGCTGAGTTGAAGTCGCCGCCGGTTGAAGGGGAGGTGGAGAAATAAGTGGAAAGGAACGAGGAGAATAGGCGGGGAATATTTGGAGCCAGGAGCTGCGCCTGGCGGGGTTATCTGATGCGCTGAGATGAATGGTGGAGGGGAGGAGAGGGAAGGGGAGCCAATGGAGGAGGAGAGGGAGGAGGAGAAGGAGAGGATCTTGCTGATGTGGGGGTACCTCCCGGGTGTCTCGCCCCAGAGATCCCCGCTGCTGTCTCCGGTGCCGGTGAGGTTCCCCGGATCGCCCGCGGGGGATGCTTGGAGGGATGCGTGCGGAGGGGGCTGCGGATTCGCCATGGCGATCTCTGGTAGGTCCAAATACGAGTCTATGCTCGTCTCTGTTCTATTCTTATGATTTGGGCTTCGATTTTTTCGAGTGAAAGAATGTCAGCACCCACCTGGTTCGTCAACGCATTTCATTGTGTTGGTTGTACGATCTCGCATTATCTGATCTGTTTCCTCCACGAAGGAAGAGCGTGATGTTTTCCTCTTTGTCAGAATTCATCCCGATTAATCTGAACGAGATGATCCATTCTACGTCTCCTCTCTTTCAGATTTTGCCTTTTTTCCCCCTGATTTTTATGAAGAGGTATTATTTTTTTGGAGGTCTGAGGACTCAGTGGTGTCAGTGACCGATCGCGAGTGTATTTTCCATTCTGTGGTATCTCGTCGTGTCATTTACTCTGTTGCTCCAACACTTTCCCTCTCTTGTTCTCTGTGAATGCGTGAGACAATATTCTTTCCTCGGAACATTTCGCTTCAAGTTTCATGGTTAGCATGTGCCCCACATTAACTGGGTGAGTGGTTAATGGCATACCTTGTCTAGGTATGCCACATTTTAGGTGTTACTTCTGCGACTCCGTGTTTTTAGATGTAACTAGCTTTAGACTCACAAATACGTCTTTTCTATATGCCGCATCAGAATCTGGGAAGCTTATGACATGGGGTTCAACGGATGATTTAGGCCAGAGTTATTTAACTTCAGGAAAGCACGAGGTACTTATTAGTCTATTCAATTCAGTCAGGTGGTTTCTTCCGCTATGCTCTGTGAATCAATGTCATCATGCGCACAGGAAATTCCAGAGGCCTTTCCTCTTCCAACTGATACTCCACTAATGAAAGCTGCGGCTGGATGGGCTCATTGCGTTGCAGTTACAGGTTCTGTCCCTCTCCATCCCTTGCATACATGCCCACTAATCCCATCCAAACGTCGTATTTTTTACCATTTTTGTACTACTATAGTCATATTGAACACACAGGAAAGTTCATAAGCCTAGCTAATTTTAACCGAGTATATCTTAAATAAAATATTCAGAATGATTGTTGATCTCTTTTTGCCTGCTATGCCATGTAACCGTACGTTGGCAAATCGTCTTTTGTCATTGAATACCATCATCGATGAATAAGAATAGTTGTATTTTTATCAAAAAATCTATTTATCATTATGGTCGCTTACCTGCTGAAATGTGGATGTCCTAACTTCGATATGTAGATCGTCATCATTCTTGTGTTCATTAATGCAAATGCTTCTTTTGGACCTCATTCTTTTAACATGCTTTTTCCTCCACTATACCAGCCCAAGGCGAGGTCTACACATGGGGTTGGAAAGAATGTGTCCCTTCAGGAAAGGTCGTAGGTGATCAATCTGCTGCGGGATTACGGTTACTGGAAAAGGATGCATTGTTGTCGAGTGACCAAGGTAACTATGGTTAGAAATACTATACATTAAAGAAATTTTGTAGAATTTTCTCGGCCATCCATACCAGCGAAGATTTTGTTGCAGTGAGTCCAAGGTCTCAAATTTCAAAGGGTGGTGAAGAGAGTGCGAAACGCAGGAAGTTGACGTCATCTAAGCAGGGTCCAGAAAGTTCATCTAGTGACGAGAATTTATCAGCACTTCCCTGCCTAGTGAGCCTCGGCCCAGGAGTGAGGATTAATACTGTGGCTGCTGGCGGTCGCCATACATTAGCTTTGTCAGGTAAATCCACATGTTTTTCCAGGTTTTACTGGCCTGTGCGGTAATCTTACTTCTGAGATCTAGAACACAAGTAGTTGGGCCCTGGAATATGCTCGACGCTAATTTATCCTCGTTTCCAAGGTTTCAGATATGGGTCAGGTGTGGGGTTGGGGATATGGAGGTGAAGGGCAATTGGGTTTGGGTTCTCGGATCCGTATGGTATCGTCTCCTCATCCTGTGCCCTGCATTGAGTCTGTTGCGTGTGGTAAAGATAAATCTCAAGCTGCTCCTGGAGGGTATATCAGTTCGGAAGGACAGGCTCATAAGATGACTGGAAGCGTTGTGAAGGCTATAGCATGTGGAGGTCGGCACAGTGCAGTGGTAACAGGTCAGCATTGCATGATTTGCCTTTGATTTCTGCCTATACGGTATTGAGAAAGTACTTATTAGTTTTCCTCACCAATGGATTCGATGCTGGATCTAAGAACATTTGGATTAAGTTTTGCTTTAAATTTTATGCTGCACGACATAACCAACAAAATTGCCTCCGTTATAATCTCTTATTTTAATTAAGCACATGACATTGACGTTTGAATGATATTAGCGCAAAGAAAGCGTTACAATCATCATATTCACATTTGTTTTGATCTTCAAGGTGAACAAAATGTCTGAAACGTTTCGCCCTATTTTGTTATGATGTGGATATGTTTGCCTTTGACAAGATCGTCATGTTTCTCTCTCCCTGCCTGATATCATCGCTGCAAGTTCTGATTCTATGTAGTTCTTTTCTGACGTTTCCAATCATGCAATCAAATCTTAACCCCTTATCACGATTGACAGCCTTGTTGAAGGTTTAGAATTAAAAATCGTGCATTTTGTAACATGTCTTGTGTTCGCACAGACACTGGAGCGTTGCTTACCTTTGGTTGGGGACTCTATGGGCAGGTGGGTTCTTCTCTCTCTTGGTCCAATTCAATAGAAAACTTTTCATTATGAAGCAAAGCAGTTTTGTTTGATGCTTATCTGCGTTTTTTGTATCATTCTCAAAGTGCTTTTTCCTTTTTACACTTAAAATACTTAATGAAGTATATTTTTGGGAAAATAACTTAAAAAATAACTCAATGGGTAATAGTGTCCTCTGCCTTCATAGAAACACGTTCCAGCCGATTAATGAAATGACTGTGCATCCTCTTTTATTCACTCTTCTGAAATAGTCAAAAATCTATCCGAACATTCAGAGCGCAAGGGCCGACCATATAAACAGACGGTCGCCTTACATTCACCAGGACATGATCTATTTTGTTCCTGATTCTGTTGTGTTCAGGCCTGGTTTTTGTGAAGCATTAACTGCTCTCCAGGATGATAAACACGTAGGAATTGCAGAAAAGATGGTGGAAAAAAAAAACAACGAAGTATTATTATGTAAGGAATTATGATTTTGGGTTGTACCAAGTCTGAAACCAAGTGGATTTATTTTTTGTCCCATATAATTCTATTACCTTTCCATGTTATCACCTCTTCTCTGCCTTGATATTCTTCTGCTCCAGTGTGGGCAAGGGAGCACGGACGACGAGCTGAGCCCCACCTGCGTTTCCTCCCTTCTGGGGATCCAAATCCGAGGGATCGCCGCTGGCCTCTGGCACACGATCTGCACCTCCGCCGACGGCGATGTCTACGCCTTTGGAGGCAACCAGTTTGGCCAGCTGGGGACCGGCACTGAGCAGGCCGAGGTATCGACCAAAAACCCCGATTCTTTTCTGCTATGATCTCATTTTGAGTCAGAAGTGACTCGGAGGTCAACTCATTCATGGGCTTTACCGTATATATTGCGGGTTACCGCCTCCCATTAGGCAGAGTCCGAGGGGGCCTGCGTGGAATGAGTATAATTTCAGTTTGGTTGGTAGAAAAATAAATGTGATGATATGATATAATATACGGGGTTTACTCTAGTAGATTGTGACCTTCCTGTGATCGGTAGTCCCTCTTGGTTGGCGGCGGATCTGACTGGTCCGAGCTTCTGCCTCTCTCTCTCTCTACAGACGATCCCCAGGCTTCTGGATGCGCAGTGTCTGGAGAACAGCAGCGCGAAGATAATATCTTGCGGAGCTCGCCACAGCGCCATGGTCTCAGGTAACCACTATCTGAAATTCCCCGGGATCTCTTGGTCTTGCTGACTCCCCTCCCTTCTACTTGAAACTTCAGAGGACGGGAAAGTCTTCTGCTGGGGTTGGAACAAGTACGGCCAGGTACCCCCCTCCCTCTCTCTCTCTCTCTCTTAATTTCTCGTTGTTGACCCTTTGCGTCTGTACTGTGTGTTGGCAGCTGGGTTTAGGCGACGCGATAGACAGGAGCATCCCGTCCCAGATTCCGCTCGACGGATGTCTACCGACGAACGTTTCATGCGGCTGGTGGCACACGCTCTTGCTGGCAAAGCCCTTCACATGACGACTCCCCTTAGATGAGCATTCCGGTCTAGGCAATTTTGGTAGCGTAGTCTCTCTCTCTCTCTCTCTCTCTCTCTCTCGCTATCTGGTTGCGGCATTGAATCTCTCCCCGCCCATCTGCTGTCTACTGCCAAATGTAAATCCTAGATCAGAGTGGTAGCTGATGTTTATGTACATGTCTTCATTGATCAAGGCATCCATGCCTCGAGGCCAGCTGCCTGCGTGGTTGGCCTCCTTCGTAGAGTCCAGTTTAGTCAATTCCTGTGGTTCCTCGCCAAATGTTCCACTCCCCAAAGAGGTTTGGGGGGTAAAAAGTCAACTCCAAAGATTTAGGCCAGAATATATCCGAATGGTCAACGTCAAACCACCGACTGCTCCGGGGCGTGGAGAAAGCCACTGCAAAAGTCGAACCGCGTCGCCGCCGTGAACCCGGAGGATAAGAACCGGCTCGCCTGATCGTGCAACGCACCGGACACCGCCCAGCAACCACCGCATTGAGAGAGAGAGAGAGAGAGAGAGAGAGAAGAAGCTTCCGGGCCAAATCTTTTTGCTCCAACGGGTCAACGGAATGCGGTGTGACTCGGAGGATGACTCGGCCCCCCTTTGTGTCGGTTGGACACGAGCAAAATAATCAGTCACGTGCTATGAGCTCGGGGTCCACGTTTCTCGTGTAGCGTCGGCTGGTTCTTCGAGAGAGCCAAGCTCGGTCAACGCCTACAAGCACGACTTGGAGCAGTTTCTAATGGGCCCTACTTTCGGTGATGGTGCAGAGGGACCTACCGGGAGCCCATTAAGGATTCCTTATTCCGGTGCATATTCCCGCGAAAGGGACAAATATGGAATTTTTGAGAGTATAACACTAAATATAAAATATCATATAAATAAATATAAATAAAGCAAGTGGCAGCCAATCGGGAGCCACGTCGAAAATATGGGGGAGTAATTTTTAAAAAGAACCACGAGAGAATGGCATTACACGTGATGAGCACGTGGGTGATGCCAGGTGCCTCAGATCGCGAAAGCTGCGGAGCCGGATCAGGTCATGTACAGGACCCCCGGGATAATATAAAAATAATAAAATAATTAATTTGTTTAATAATAATTAAATAAATACGCAACCATAAAACAAGGGAAGATTCGTTTTCAAAATCCGCGGCCTCCTGTGATGGGGGGCGGCGGCGCTGCTATTAAAGCGCGGGAAGGGGACCGGCGTCGGTCCTCACGCGGATCGCTACTCTTTCTCTCTCTCGCTGTGACCTGGCCGCTGCGTGACATCTCCTCCTCGGTCGATCTTGGCGCCTCGACAAGGGGGGGCGGGATCGGACGCGGCCGCAGCGCATCCTCAACAGCGGGAATCTAGTCTCCAGGTACCACCGCTTGAATCTACCCTGCATTCCGTCTCATCGCCGGATCTCCTCGTTTTCTGGTCGGGTGTTCCTCAGGTTTCCCTCAGTTCTGGAAGAGAGAAGGGGCGAGGGGTGGGGCGGAGGACCATGTTCGCTGTATCTCCGATCTATCTCAGTGTCCTCCCAATCCGTTCTCCTCGCTGACATTAATTTGGTCCCGTTCCTTCTGGAAGTTTTTTCCTATCGCTGGATTTTGGATGTTTGCTCTCGTCACTTTCCTGCATCGTTCTCCGGCCCCCGACAGCTGCTGTGATCCGCCAATTGCAGCAGATTTGACCTAATTCCCTCTTCTTTACTTTCCGAGGAAGCTTTTTAAACGTGTATTAGGTGGAGTAGACGAAACGAATCCAACAGGTCGTCTTCTAGGATTGAATACTTGGAGACTTGGCTCCTCTGCGCGAGATACAGCTTTTTTTTCTCTACTGGCAGCTAGAGCCTTAGGCGTCTCTCCGAACGCTTGCTGACCTTCGCTCTTCGTCGAATTCTCGTCATCCCATTCGCAGATTTCCCCGCACCCTCCTCGCTGAGATCTGCCGACAGTCACCCATAATATTACCTCTCCAACTTTCGGAGTCTCGGAGATCTGCTTGCAGTTTGTTTCATCTGGCCCCATTGTTAACGAGCAGGAACAGAGAGGAACGCATCCCAACACCATGAAGGCGCTCATCCTCGTGGGAGGCTTTGGAACTCGGCTGCGGCCGTTGACTCTCAGCGTCCCCAAGCCACTCGTCGATTTTGCCAACAAGCCCATGATCCTCCACCAGGTACCCATTACTCGGAAATAAGAGAACGCCCCCCCATTCCCCCTCATTTTCAATTCCTGGATCCGCCGTTGACGAAGCGGGAAGCCAATGATCCTGTGTGGACACTAGCATTGGCTATAATACTTTAATGACTTCTTCCCCGCATTGATGACCAGATCGAAGCCCTCAAAGAAATCGGAGTCACTGAGGTTGTCCTAGCGATCAACTATCAACCAGAGGTAAAAATGGGGATGAGTCTCCTTCTATTCCTCGTCTTGTAGCGGCATCGCTTACCAGGAAGCCATGGTTGCTGCAGGTGATGCTCAACTTCCTGAAGGAGTACGAAGCTAAGCTTGGCATGAAGATCACATGCTCTCAGGAGACGGAGCCGCTAGGGACTGCCGGGCCTCTGGCTCTAGCGAGACACAAGCTAATCGATGACTCCGGCGAGCCGTTCTTCGTCCTCAACAGCGACGTCATAAGCGAGTACCCACTGGCCGAGATGATCCAGTTTCATAAATCCCACGGCGGAGAGGCTTCCATCATGGTGACCAAGGTAAAGAAAAAAAACCCCGGTCACACACCATGCCCTAAATTAACCCAAGTCCACCCCTCTCCTCCTGCAGTTCTTCTCACGATCCTGCTTTTCCTTCTCGCTCAGGTCAACGAGCCTTCAAAATACGGGGTCGTCGTCATGGACGAGGAAACCGGGAAGGTGGAGAAGTTCGTGGAGAAACCAAAGATCTTCGTGGGCAATAAGATAAACGCCGGCATCTACCTCCTGAACCCCTCGGTTCTCGACCGGATCCAGCTGAGACCCACCTCGATCGAGAAGGAGGTCTTCCCCAGGATAGCCGCCGAGCAGAAGCTGCACGCGATGGTTCTCCCCGGATTCTGGATGGACATCGGCCAGCCCAGGGACTACATCACCGGGCTCCGCCTGTACCTCGACTCTCTACGGAAGAGGTCCCCCTCGAGCCTCGCCGCAGGGCCCCACATTGTCGGCAACGTCCTGGTTCACGAGAGCGCCACCATCGGGGAGGGCTGCCTGGTCGGACCCGACGTGGCCATCGGGCCCGGGTGCGTGGTTGAGCCCGGGGTGCGTCTCTCCCGATGCACCGTCATGCGCGGAGTTCGCATCAAGAAGCACGCCTGCATCTCGGGGAGCATCATCGGCTGGCACTCCACCGTCGGCTGCTGGGCCCGGGTGGAGAACATGACCATCCTCGGAGAGGACGTCCACGTCGGCGACGAGATCTACAGCAACGGCGGCGTGGTGCTTCCCCACAAGGAGATCAAGTCCAGCATAGTCAAACCCGAGATCGTCATGTGAGTGCCGTCCTTTGCTCGCGCTCCCTCTCCCTCTCCTTCTCGTCCTGCCCTCCCCCCGCCGCCGCGCATGTAGATAGAATAAACCCCCGAGTCAAACCAGATGGGTCTCCCCCATTAGATCACAAACGAAAATGTTCTTGAGGCCGCCCGCCCATCGTTCTTAGTCCGGCCTCCGATGAGAATTCCAGCCCTGTTTTCCCAGATGGGTTCTTTCCCTCGATCCCTCACCACCTCTCGCCTTCTGGTTTTCAGCGACTGTGGTCAGAAATTAAGTTCCTCTGCCCCCCCCCCCCTAGTCGCGTGGGAGGTTCAGCGAATGAATCCAAATGGTCGTAGGGGGAGGGCGTCCAGCTGTTTTCATAATATGCCTCTCTAGAGAGAGAGAGAGAGAGAGCATGTGACCTGATGGTGTGGGTCAGGGGCGAACGGCGTCTTCGAGGGTCTAGACGAGGCTGAAAGTCCGATTCTGACCTATACGGTGACCTAGCCCGTCCTACGGACATCGTCTAGGGAGAGAGAGAGAGAGAGAGCGGGAGGAAGACCGAGGTTCTTATGTGAGCGATTGCGAGACATCTGTGCGGCAAAATATGAATCTGAGAATGGAGATCACAGATATGAGAACTAAATAAGTTATTGGGAAGAAAATTATGAGAAAACAGACTGCAGCAAATCAAGTATTGAAAATCATATACTCTGATATATTATTGTTCATATATTATTACATGGTCCATATACTCTGATTCATTTGTCGATATATCATTAGATGGTCCATATCATTATGGTAGGTAATTTTTAATGGTAAGATGATTTGGCATATGTGGGCATGCGATTAAAATCTAAGGTTTCAAATTGTTTTACTTTTCAAAATAATATTACCTAGAATATTTTATGTGCCCATTAAGGACTGCTCAAGAGACGTTAATGGTGATGCACAGCCCACTAATGGCGTTTGAACTAGCCATTAAAGGAAATGGGTTGGCCCATTAATGACTGTCATGCGGCTGTTAAGACAGATAAAACTCAGATGATACTCCTTGAGAGATGCATAAAAGGAGAGAATTTCACTCAAATTAGGGCTTCAATCGAGTAAAATCAAAAGGGTGAAATCACCCAAACCCTAGCGATATCCGTCTTTATTCTCCTGGAACATGATGATCAAAGTGCTCAATCAAACAACTCTGAGTAGCTCTAACTATTGAAGATTCAAAACAATTCAAACTCTTGAAGGGCTCATTCACATGCACCTTCTCTAGAGAGGAAAACCATTTTATGTTGAGAAGGTGTTGGTAAGATCTTGATATCTATGTTACTCCTTTGTCCATGTAATTGAATGTGCAAAGTCAATTGATGAGCTCTGGTAACATGGTTTAAGGCTTGATATCTAATATGGATTGATAGACCCATAAACTATATTAACTGAGTGAATTGATCTACCAATGAAATATATTTTTTAAGAAGATTGTTTATGACTTAATGTTAGGTTGTATTCTGGATACAATAATTGTAGAATCAAGAGAGTGATCTTAAGAGTGGACGTAAACTAAAAGAAATTAAACCATTATAAAAGTATTATCTTTATCTTGTCTTATTGATCTGAATTAAAATTAAAAGAATGATTAAAAAGATGCAAAAACTAAATAAAAGTTAAGAATCCATTCAATCTCTCTCTCTCTCTCTCTCTCTCTCTCTCCCTCTCGCTATTGGTTTCATACTAAAAGTGAGGGAGACCAATGGGGCCGTGCTGAGTGAAGTTGGGCTGAGAGCCCGAAAATAGGCGTTCAAGGCCCATTTAAAGGCCTTCCGTTAATTAATTGCCCGTCAAAACTTACAATTATACAAGGGGGATTGATTGCTCAGATGAATCAAGCGGCAACTCCTCTCCTCATCGGGTGCAATCAAATCGGTTGATCGATGGCCCGTCTTCTTCTTCTTCTTCTTCTTCTTCCTCAAACGGAGGCGAGGAGCCAGAACATGACGAGGGAGGACTTGGCGATGAGAGCCCATGTCACGAACGCGCAGGAGATGGATATCTGGTACCTGCTGCAGGAGAGATCCAACCCCCGGGAGCAGAAGCGGACGTCCCTCGCGAACAGGATCGTCACGCCCGCCGAAGAACACGCCGCCGCCAGCGACAGGGTCGCCGTCACCTGGGAGTCAAACGGAGAATCGCGAGCAGAATCATGAAAAGCACCGAAAATGGGTATTCCCCCAACTTCCGGATTAGAGATTCGAAAAAAAAACCCGACTGGGTTGCCTCGTCTGAGATGATCCAGATCGGGTAATCAGTCTCTACAAAAGTTCGTGGCCGTTTCTGGAAAAGCTGAGCTGGGTTTTCCCCCTAGAGACGGTGATGCATAAGATCGAGCAACCAATCAGCTCACAGATCGGATCAGATAGTGGGACAGACGGTCCCCCGAGAGGCCTCCATGGCGACACAGCCGGCACAGCCGGGGAGAGGGAGCATAAAAGCAGAGTCTTTAATGGAAGGATGGGAATGGGGAGAGGAGAGGAGAGGAGAGGAGAGGAGAGGGATTACCCAATCGCCGACCACAAACAGGCTCACTAGCACCGGGTTGTGGAGATCCCTCTTGATCCTCAAAGCGTAGACGTCCAGGCACGCGAGCCCCATGCTCCACAGCACTTGCAGCCCCATCGACGCGATCAGGTAGCTGACCAAGAGGAACGTCGGTCGTCACACTTGACAAAAATCTTTCAGAAGATAATATCGGCATGCAGTCGACGAACAAGAACCGCAGAGCATGAAGCGAAGAAAACCATGGAGGCGCGGGAATTCTCAAATCAAGCAGCGGATATGTTGCAGACGAGGCGCGCCCAGAAAAAAAGACGACTCATTTCATGGTGTTTCACAATTGACAGGTTCAGATGATCCTCCCACCGAATGGGAGCTACCGATCTCTCCACAATCCGGGTCCTTCCCCCATGCACAGTGCCATCTCGCTCCGCTCTTCGGGAGGCATAGGCTCGTTGGATGCCCTGCCACCGGACTAGGGTTTAATGCTCTATGTTTCATTGAGGGGGTGCTTCTGGATGAGGAAGTGACGACCCCCCGATTAGCTGACATTCCTGTGCGCTGATCATCATCAATAAGGCTATATATATATAGATATGAAATCCTCATTCGAGGCCACCATATTCACAGATCTCGGTCGCAGCAGCTGGCCTCCAACATCTCCGGACTGAGGGGAGGGGGGGGGGGGGGGGAGAGAGGGGAGAGATCTCAGGATGATTAGTCAACTCGAAGAGTTGAAGGGGAGAACCACATTTATATTTTTTGGCTGGGTATCAAGATTGGAAACAGAAGTCAAGAGCGGGCTATTTTGGGCGAATTACCCGCTTGGGCAAGAAAACCAGGAGAGGAGACAACGATGTGACGATAAAAGACCATCCAGATATCACCAGATCGGAATATATATGGTAAATGAAGAAAATGAGGAACGACCGTACCAGAAGGCCGTATAGTTGGAGAATCCGGAGGAAGAAACCATCACCCCGATGGAAGCCGCCGCGAACAGACACTGCCCTAACCTCAGCAGCAGCCCGCTGACGGTACCGGGGCTCCCCACGAGAGACTTCATCTCCCAGAGCGAACGAAACCGGCCGAACCCTTTCGAATCCCTAGTTTACCCCATAACAGCAGCCGTCACGGCGGCGAGGTCCCTCGAGAATCTCCATCCCTCCCCACCCCACCTGCGACGGGAGCCCGAGCAATTCCCCCCTCCACCCTCCCCCTCAGAGGCACACGCCCTCAGAGGCAGATCGGTGATGGATCCCCCGCTGTTCTACTAGGGTTTTCGGGGCCACTCTAGAGTTTCCCTCTTCGCCTCACACCACCCAGAGGATTTCTGTCATTATGCCCGTCTCTGTGTGTCGCCCACGGGGGAAGAGGGAAGGGGGAGAGAGAAAAATGAGAGCTTGGTCCCCACGGGGGTGGGGGGCCCGGGTTTCCTCCATGGAAGGTCTGTCACGATCGCACCTCCTCGTCTGAATAAATAAAGAACGCTGCTTTCTTTCGTTAAGAACTGTAAGGCGGCCCGCTCTGGTTCTCTCTCGTTCTTCTTCCTCTTCAGCGCGTCGACGTCGGCGGGTGCTCTTTCTCCATCGTTCTTGCTTCTTTTTTTTTTTTTTTTTCCCGTGGAGCACTAATCCCTTGGCTGAGGATGGAAAGCAGAGCTCCAAAAGTCAACGTTAGACTTGGGTGCCAGGAAAGGAACGCCCGCCGCCTTTCTCCTCCCTTCCCTGGAGCGCTGACCCCTCCTCTTTAACGATTGGCTCGCAGTTCCCATTATTGGAACTATTTGTTTCGCTCTTAACACCTAAAAGCAATTGACTTATTGTTGACCAAAGCATCTCGGGAGAAAAAGTTGTCCAGAACAGTCAACGCGTGCGTTCTACTTATAGGCGTTCCAATTCAGTCCATTCTTGCTACTCTGACTTCAAGAGATGGACTCACCCTCTGCATCTTGTGAATACGTCGAATGTTCGGACATCAACATCTCTAAGATATAAGCATTTACTTATACATAATATATATGCATCTAGAGAGAGAGAGAGAGAGAGAGAGAGAGAGATGAAAAATCTACATCGAAAAACCATCAGGATCTAATACCAATCAAATATGATTGAAACGAGGGAAAAAACAGTCAAAACTACGGCCATCTGCTTTAATTGGTCTTATGAAATAACCTTGGAAATATTGCCCAATAAAGTAAACAAAATATATAAGACCAGAAAGTTAGGTGGGAGGCTGTTACCACCATCAGAAAATGCCAAGATACCATAAGCCCCTGAAACAAAGTGCCAGCAATTTCCTCCTACGGCATCATCAATACGGATAGATAGAAGACTAGCGAGGGAGAGAGAGAGAGGGAGAGAGAGAGAGAGAGGCTACTGGCAGCCGCTCAACCTAGCCCAGTCCACAAACTGCATTCCGCCGTAAATATTGTTGGCCAGACGAACGCCGACGGTGAAGGCCATTGCAACGGGAGGCGCCCGCTTGGCCACCGCAGTTGACTCCACCACCCGTTCCAAGCCATTGATAATCTGATATCTCGTGTTCGAAGATACTGCCAGAAAGACACCTGCAAAAGGGCGCCCCGGTGGCAAAAAATAAGCCACCTTTCCTAGATAGCACAGATCAAGAAGCTATATTTCCAACAAAATTATTGGGTCTGAAGATTCCCATTGCCCAGACGCATGATCTCATACCAGTCCCGTTATCTCTCTCTCCGTCTCTGTCTCTGTCTCTGTCTCTGTCTCTGTCTCTCTCTCTCTCTCTCTCTATCTCTCTCTATTTTTCCTTTTTGGGTTGGCACCCAGATGTATGTATATGGCAATAGATGATGCTGATGGAATAACAGATGAACCAAGCCAAAGACATCAAAAGATCCCAGAGTAGCAAACTAAGTGGGCAAAAAAAAAGAGAACGGGCTCGGAAACGTACCCCAGAGAGCAGCGCTTTTGACGAGAGGCGGCACGGGCACATCGTCTTCGGACTTGTTCACAGTCCTGCCAGGTGTAAACCGTTGACGCAGCAGCCAAGATGAAGTGGAGAAAACATGCATGCAGTACGAAGAAGGCCCACAAATGGTGCAGTAATACGGAATATGAAGCACGAGTAGGCAAGCAGGCAAGCCTTGTGAAGCATAGTTTCCACCGAGAGAACAAAGAAGGGTGGTGATGATTTAAAGGTTCCGGTTTACCCCGCGGAGGCTAATCCTTCTAGATTTTTCTAAAAACCTGAGATATCACGGTTGCAGCTGCAGAAGTATCAGAGCCTGTTAGAACAGGAGTCAATGCTCTTGAGCAAGGCCTGTGTTTCGCAGCTTCACCAATGGGTCCGGCCAATCAGCACAGAGTTTTTACTTTTTTATGCACCGCAACATCAACTGAGAAGAAATCCACAGTCGAATGGGAACAGTCAGCCAGTCTCTGCTGTTGTGCATAGAGCAACCGAAGTCCACAGCGTGGCATATTACTAGGTACTCCCATCGTATGTATTGTACACAGAACGCGATAAGAACACGGAAATGGGTTTACAAGACAACACAGATGAGTAAACAGCGTGGCAAATGAGTTGTTCAAAAGAACCCGATCAACGAGTCGACCACGAATCATATAGAAACTCCTTGAAATGAGTCAATGCATCGAGCTCAATCTGATCACAAAGAGGCAAGCCGATTCAAGAGCAAAACAGGCTGAAACAAGCAGTGCTTTAAGGGGGGGGGGGGGGGTTGGCTTTGGAAACTGCGGATGTAACCTTAAAGTTCTATAACAAATCTTGTTTTGGTTCCCCTTCGAGGATGTGGGCTTTTTTTTTTCCTTCTTAAATTGTTTGTGGATTCAGAAAAGAAAAAATAGAATTTGGTCCAGCCACTAGTTTCGTCTGTAGGTCTCCACAAAACTAGATTTCAGAAAAGATATATATCCCATCAAGAACTTCACTGAAGCATTAACTACCAACAAGAAAACGAAGTTCATTTTTCAAGCAGTGGATTATATTTCTGAACCCATTACTGTAAAACGAGTGCATACCGTTTAGCCGTCATGATCATGTTGGCAATGCCCTGGCCTACAAGGCCACATGCAAATCCAACAGATGCATATAGAACTCCCTGCATGCACAACAAGCAGAAAAAAATAATTTCTTAAAAGGCTGCATTCAGATTCCAAGTAATACAATTCAGACCAAACCAAACAATACATGTTGTTTCATTCAGGAATCCTAAAGGTGGCATCAGACAACAGTTCTTGCGCGACTATGTTGATTACCAAGGAGTATCCAAACATTCACATACAGCTTACAGTGAAAGAAAATGGGGAAACGCAACCTTGTCCGTGAGAAAAACATGTACCTTGATAAAATACGTTCCAATCCGTTGTTGGGCTGAAAATCGGCATCCTGGTCTTTCAGCTTCAAAGACACTGCATGGGATGGGAAACACCCACGTAAGTCTCATCTCAAACTTGTTTGACTTCTAAAATGACGAGTATAGAAACTATTATAGGGCCTCCGATAGATTAATGAGACTTAGTTGAAACAAATATCCGACACATCTTTCATTAATTCTTTTTATTTCTCAACAGAGAGATGAACCCCCTGTCAAAAAAAAACGAGTAAAAAGTAGAGAGGTGGATAGATACGGAACGCTTGAGCTGTAATCGATGAATGCCATTTATTCAATGAGAAAGAAGCATGGCAGATTAATGCATCAAAAGATGAGAAAACCTTTTGGTCTGAATCAAGGGCCATATATGCCCACGAAGCTCACAAGAAAGTATGATGCATTAGTTAATCACATGTAAGATAATAAAACAAGCTTAGGTTGCAAATCCAAATAGAAAAGCTAAAAGAGAACCAACCTACTAGGAAGCGCATCACAGTAACGAGCCACGCTACTAAACAATCCCTTTGACGTAGAAGGCTGGCCAATGCGTGCATACGGAGCTAACAAACCAACTAAGGCTACATTGACAACAACTCCTACCAAAAGATCTGCAGCGTATAGCTCAAATTCTGCCCAGAAATCCTTGCCCCTTTTCTGAACTTCGGCCAATGTTGCACAGCAAGAATCAATAACAATCTGAAAGTTGCAGTAAAAAGGCTCATGAGTGCGCACAAAATGCCCTCCGAAAACGATAACGATATAAATGTGAGACATTGGCCAAACCTCTGCCCCAATTTTGAACAGGAACTGACGATCAACAAGCATTCGGTCCCGGAGCAAAGGGCACCACCTGATTGCAGCACCAAGAGGCCAAGCCAATTCCTTTCAGTAGAAACTAAGCTGTCAACACGCAGTTATTGCTAAGTAAAACAACATATGTGACGTTTGAGAACCCAACAGAGAAGTACCTGCAGATTCAGATAATTTTCTAAGAGACCTTTCTGGATTCCAACAGTCTTGGCAGCTTCGTACATGTCTGGAGGCAGGTTCACACCGCGAGCTTCTGCTTCATTCATTACATCCTCAAACTTTAACACCGATGTGGCCTCGTCGTCTCCTTCATCATCCTGACCGTGTCCATCATTGCTATCACCCCCATTACCACCGCCACCGCCACCGCCTCCCGGAGGAAATTCTCCATTGCCGCCCGAACCGTCAGAGCACCCACCAATAGCATCCTCCCTATTGGCATGGCGGAGTCGACTGCTTGTATCCGAGGCACTGAGGCCCTTCCCCAACGGGGCATCATCACCACCTAATGAAACCCCAGTTTTTGGATTCGCAGCTTCTCCTGCAACAGCAGTGTCCCCCAAATTAGACCCCAGCTCACACCTGGGGACATTGATCCGCAAGCTACACCCTGGAACAACGTTTCTCCCATACTGCCTCAGAGAAACCGCAACGCTTGCCCCCTCGACATGAGGTCGACGACCACATTTGGGGCCGTTTTCGACTTCAAAAAACCTTCCATGCGAAGCGCCGCTCTTTTTCCAGCAACGAGAGACCTCACCGAAACTCAGACAGAGGTCGCCCGAGAAATATGGCGAATAGCGTATCCTGAGGCCTAAAGCGGCGGCAAGAGCCATAGGTAAAAGTATTCTCCGAATTCTTCCTCTTGCTTGCTAGTACGATATTGTCGACGAATGTGATTAGACCTCTGAGAGGATATATATAAACCCTTACCCGGAGATGAACCTGGAATCACAGAGAGACGATGAACCGCGATTCTCAGCTCAGCTCTGACAGAAAATGTCGCGCCAACCGGAAGAAGCAGAAACACGCCGACGGGAGCGAGTCCCAGATGCTCGGGATCTACTGATAGTGCATAGAGTTAACAACCACAGATGTAAGAAGCCCCGAGGGAGAGCCGTCGTCTTCCCCCCGCTCCCGCCCCCCTCCCCACAAATACAGCCTCGCGAGAGCTTCAAGCAAACGCAAACCCCTCCGCCTCTCTCCTCCGCAGCGGCAGCGGAGCAGCGAGAGCAGAACAGTGGCGGCCCCTCTCTCTCTCTCTATACTACTACCGCTACTGCTACTACAACTGCAGGTTGCGAAGTGGAGGGTGCAGAGGGGCTGACCAGTCAGCGGCGGAGCCTTGTGGGTCCCGCTTGATCGTACGGTCAACACCCACGATCCGCCGCACGCTCTCTCCCTCGGACGGAGATATTAATACTCTTTCGGGCCGGTAAGGCGGATCCTGGCTACCGAAATGGGAAAGAGAGAATCGCCACATTTGACTGGGGGCATTATCGGATCCTCCCGGGTAAGCCTGGGCCCGGCCCGGTCCGCAGACGGCCCTACCATAAAAGCAGACGAAAATAAAGAAATAATAATAATATTAGGGTATATGTGTGGAACACGATAATCTTAGGGTGTATACGTGGAAATAGTGATAATAGTGAGGATATTGATAATATTAAGGATGTATATTGAAATGGTGATAACATTAAGGGTGCACATAGAAATAATGATACGATTAAGGGGGGTATATATGGAAACAATGATAGAATTAGGATTTATATACGGGAATAATGTGGCTAAAGATGTGTGATATGAACAGGAGAGAGAGAGAGAGAGAGAGAGAACTTTTACAGGTGCTGTACAAAGAATTGGATGTAGGGTTCTTTGTGTTGGCTGGTATTCACAGAGGAAGCGGGAGGAGGGGGACGACGGGCGGGGGAGCCGTCATCAGGGGCTCCCCTGGTCGTCGCACTTGAGTAGGTTGATCCTCGCCGACCGCGGCTGGCTCTGGCGGCTGGTGAGGACGTCGATGTACGAGCGGAGGCGGAACCGATCGGAGTTGGTGAGGGAGAAGGGCGGGTTCAGGATGAGCGACGGCGCCTCCACCAGCAGGAAGTAGAGCAGCCGCACCGCCCTCGAGTACGCCGCCGCCGCGTTCTCCATGTTCTCCATCAGCTCGTCCACCTGCGAGGCGGCAGTGACGTTATTTAGCGGAAGGCCAACGGCGGAGGGCGGAGGGACGAGGGAGTAGAGATCGCAGATCGGGGAGGTCCGATGAGAGAGAGAGAGAGAGAGAGAGAGAGAGAGAGAGAGAGAGAGAGAGAGGCTGCGTACCGCCCCGTTTCGGCCGAGCGTGAGGGCCGCCTGGAACACCATCTCCATCGCGTCGGGCATCTCCGTGGCCTCTGCATCCGATCGATCCGTCCGTCAGTGCAGAGAACAAAGATAATGATAGATCGGGAATGAACTTCCGATGTGTGAGATTTTGAAAAATGCTGGAGAAGAAGAATATCTCTAGCATTGAAGAGAGGGATTCTGGAGGGTGCGCGCACCGTCGACGGGGCCGAGCTCTCTGGCGAGTTCATCGGCGCGGCCGACTTCGATAAGGAAAGCTCTCTCGATCTGAGAGGAGACCTCACTGCTGAGCTGCTGAGGCTGTGCGCCGCCGAGTTCTTCGGAGCTGGATGCGTCCTTCTTGTCTCTGATCTCTCGGGAGGGGCCTCCTTCGAGAGCCGACGCGGCCTGCGCGTGGCATATGTGAAGCGCCTGCTTCCAAATCGCCAGAACCACCAGCTGGATCGAGAAGGCTTCCAGGTACCTCCCCACCCCGAACTTCACACACGAGCTCCACAATCAGGGCGGTGCCCACGAGGATGGGGATGCAGGAAGATGGACGACATGGAAACTGTGGGTTACCTTTTCTCCGACCAGCTCGGAAACAGAGGCTGCGCACTGCTGCAGAGATCTGATTCTAGTCTGGTAGTGACTCGACGGCTGCTCCATGGCATCCCCCATATCTGTTGATCCTTGTGAGGTCACAGAGGGGGTGCTGGGACTGTCCAGGCTCTCAGCTGTGCAGACTTTATTAATCGCTGCACCAGTTATTTTTATCGGTGCACTTAATGCACAGTTCCTCGAAGATGCAATGGGGGAAACTTGAGAGGTGCATGGCGAGTTGCATGTCCGGGATGCACTTACTGATGAAGACGAAGCCTCCATGGGCGGCCCAGAAACTAGAACATAATCCTGATCTATCAACTCTAGTGACTCTGCTGCCATCGGATCTACACACAGAAAAAGAAACATATCACCGTCAGGCTACTTGGCATGGCTTAGAATATGAGGAAGTAACAGGGGGAAGAAGGCCAGCAGCAGCAGCGGCTAGTTACCTTTTGAGGGAAATCTTACTGGGCTCTGCTCCATTGGTGACCTGACCTCTCTCCCTGTTCTAGCCAAGGGTGAACTGAAATTGCTGCCGGAAGCGGGAGTTTCTTGCTTGTGCCCAGTAGCACATCTAGAGAGCGCATCCGTGTTATTGGAAGAATCACCAGACCGTGGCGCTCTGTCTACATTACTATGAACTCTGAATCCATGTGCGGCCGGCCTTGTTGAGGAATGCCTTGTGTTCTTGGTGGGCAAAGATCTGATTCCTTCTATCCTGCTGGTCGTACACTGGACTGAGGGACTCCTTGTAAACATGGCCGAGCTGCCTTCCTGCCCGCCGGGCTCATCCTCAAATAGGAAGGGGAGGCATTCCTCTTGAGAGGCCTCCTCTGGTACTCGGACAGATTCAGCTAATGCCGGGCTGATCCTGAACGATGTGTGTGTTAGCTCTACACACAGGAGCAGACGTTGGTGTGACGAGGGAACTTGCACCTCTCACCTTAGTGGCTCGTCCAGCGGTTGATCTGAGAGAAACCTGTTGTTGAAGAATTCTTCAAACGACAACCGCTCGACTGGAAGGAATATGAATTGTGTTCAGAAAAGAGGAAAAAGGTAAGGGCTTTACAATTTGACAGAGAAACAGCCAGAGGTAATCGTCATTCATTTTCATAAAATTATCTTACCGAAAGTTCTCCTCTAGGGTCTGATCATAAATTTCTCAACAAAAAATAAAATAAAATAAAATAAAATATGTTCAGTTCTCTTTTGCTTTTTATGGAATTTTTTCTCCAACTGCCCAAGGAGAAAACCCACTTTAGACTAGTAAACCCTTGTTATTCTCCACCATTTATAACAAGCATGTGGAGGAAAGAAATCCCTTTTATGAAATGCACCATATTTTAGAAAAGATAAAATATTTTCAGATAAGATAAATAGGAACGTGTTGGAAACACAATAAAACCTGGATTTCGACGCAGCAGCTTTTGACATAGATTGACACAGTCGAAGCTCAAATCATTGCTGTCAGGAGGAAAATGCAACTCCGTTGACTTCATAATATTCTGAAGTAACTGGATCGACAGAAAGATAGACATGAGACCCCTTTATTGACTATACAGCTGTTAAAGTTTCTGGCAAATATTCGCATTCAACAGATTATGATAAGAAATTAAGAGAGAACAATAGGCACCTCGATCTGACTATTTCCATTGAATGGAGTTTTCCCAGTCACAAGCTGGAACAATATGACACCAATGCTCCAGAGGTCTGCCTGTAACGAGTACAGCCTGATTTCAGAATGACAGCCATCTCAGAGGGAAATTTCCTATCAGAGGATACAAATCACCTTGGCGTCATATTTCTGCAGTTGCATTATTTCTGGTGCCATGTAGAGAGGAGAACCACAGAGAGTCTCTGCCAGACCCCGGGGCTGTAGAGGCCTGGAGATGGTCAAAAAATTCCACTGTTGATACTCTGGTAAATCATCTCTCAAAGGTATGAACTTTTGTATTAGCTCATTTTTTTTATGAAAAAAAATAATTAATCCACCGTAAAAAAAAAAAACCTTGTATATTCTGATTCACCACAACTTTCTCAGGCTAAAAAAGTAAGATTATAAAACAAAATCGTTTATTCTGTTTGCACTCAAACCACACAGGGATTTGGGGTATTCATGAAGAGTAATTTCCCCATCAGAGAAGGTATGGGAGTTTTTTGTGGATATTATTCATTAACTTGAAGTAGTGAACGGCTGGCTGTCTTTTTCAAATGAATGTTGGACCACCCAAAATTTTCCAAAGTCCCAATTTCTTCTTAGCATCAATCTTCAAGCTTCATCACTGATCAACCCAGCACTCGAGAAGTGAAATGAGGTTTTCCCACCCCTAGACATTTTACCTTACCATATCCCCTTCACTTAACCCTCCAAGTTCTGCGCACGATATAGATATATATATATGTTTTGCACATAAGAAGGTCTCAGAAGATAAATCGAACAGAGTGAGGTTGAAACCGTTGTGCACAGACCAGGGGATTCATTCGACAGGTAGAGCAACATGTAGGAACTAAAAACAATCGACTGGTCACCTGTAACATACAGAATAATTGACTCTTTTGACAGAAGCACTTCACCTTGCAAAACCAAAGTCAGCAATCTTCAGCGTAGCGTTGACATCATTCGAGGACAGCAGAAGATTCTGTTCAAAAGAAGAAGGCAATGAGCACGAGATAACAATGACATGGGCAGGCGCATATTCCATTTTTATATCATTTCACAGGTAACTAAGCTGGACAGTAAGAGAAAACCAGCAAATATGAACTTCGCGTGAGTGCATGTCAAACACTGGGACATCACATTTCACGGCCATCAAAGAAAAGATGAATTCCATGGTCTGATAAAGAGCAGAAACGGACCGAAACTGTGCAAAACATCAACTATAGTTTGGTCAGGCCAGTGCTTTAAAGGGCAAAGCTACGGGCTACCGTAGACCCGAGTTCATAGTATTTGTTAAAGAGATTAATATGCAGAAAAAGACAAAACAAGAGTTTAACATTTGAATGGCATTTTAGAAAGAAATATTCGGGAGAAAATAACTTGGCACCACAGCTCAAATACTGAAAATGTGGGGGATTTGCTTCCCAAGTATACTGCATAATTCAAGGGAACAATGAGAAGTACACCACTCATGCTATCTATCACAACGAGAAGCGTTTTCACAGAGATGGGCATATTGATTTAATGCAAGAAAGCATCTAGCACATACGTCAAATATAATTCTGAAAGAGGTAAACTTTGCAGCCTGTGCCATGCTAAAGGAGGAGATGTGTGAACTGCCCACACCTGTGGTTTTAGATCCCGGTGGATAAGATTGTGTCTGTGAAGGACCTGCAAACCATTGGCTGAAAGGGAAACAAAGCTTTTTAGTAGTAAGCTATGAGAAGACGTTTCCTAGTCTACGAAAGAGGTAATGTACAGATGAGAGAAATGAAAAACATAGCACATCGAATTAAATTGTCTTCTATCATACCTAATTGTTGCATGAAGTATTTTGCTGTTGCTTCTGGAACTCTTCCGTGGCGCTGAATGTACATGGATAGATCACCACCTCGGCAGTACTCCAAAACAATATATATCGTTTTTGGACACTGGAAAGAACATTACACATAAGTCTCTATGCAGCGTAGTTGAGCATGAAAATAGTGACGAAAATAGGGCATGAAAATAGTGATGAAAATGGTGAGGGTAGATTCTTGCCAACTTCATCTCAGAGATCCTGACCCTCAAAGCCAAATCGCATATCTTCTGTAAGATCATTTTGTCAGCATGAATTACGGTCTCGACCATGTGAGTTGGTTTATCAACCGAGGCCCAAACCAAGAGCTGCAGGTCAACATTCATCGACAAGCATTCTGGGTGGTCTCTGAGTTAGTTAGTACGGCAGTCGCCAAAAGGATCCCAGCATGAACAGATCGAAGTGATGCAGACAGAAACCAGTTCAAGATGGGCTGGGCCTGGCTGACCTTGAGATACCGCTCAACTAAGACTTTCCACTCTCAAAATCTCTCGTACATTGCATTTTGCAAAGTTATCAAAACTAAGCAGCTGGAAAGGTAACCCAAATAGTGTGGGTCTGATGTTGGGACACAGTTCGAGTAAGTGTTCTTGAACAGTAAGTGTTCTTGAACAGTTCGAGTAAGTGCCTTCATTTTTTTTATTTTCTTTCCTGGTTGCCTTGATCCTCGGGCATGCAATTCTGCACACTGATCTCAAATTGATGGAACATTTACACGTAGAAAGCAATTCTGATATTCATCACCAGCCGGCAGAGAAGCTGCCCAGTGAAGGAATCTTCCAAGTTTCCAGCCATGAACAGGAACTTGGTGACTTATGTTCTCCCATGCACGACCTGAGATGGCTCTAAATACCCAACGATGTCCGTAAAGCAGTACACGGCGAGAGGAAGGCCACGGCGATGGGCAGATAGGGATGAGGAACAGATATTCACGTTGACGGCTGTATACCGTCTTATTTATATTTCCCCCTAAAAATTGCACGGGGAGAGGCATCGGTCGGTCGGCTGATTGAAATTTCGCATCGCAAGTTGCATTGCACCGGAAATTTTTGCTCAGCCGATGTGACGAGGGAGACCTCATGGCGGCTAATTTTTCACCGGCATTAAAACTAAAGAGGATGCGTGGTAGGAAGAGCGACCGGCTACGTCTCGACACGAAAATCCCCAAACGAGAGAAAATGATCTGCGAGAAGAAACGGATGGTCACCTCGATGATGTCGTATAGTGCAATGATGTTAGGATGCTCGATCTTCTTCAGTATGACGATCTCGGATAGGAGGCTCTCCTGGAGCTTCTTGCTCAGCCTCTCCATGGGAATCTCCTTCACCGCCACCTCCGTCCCGTGAACGCGGTGCCGCGCGAGCCACACGTCAGAGAACGATCCCCGCCCTATCATCCGCCCGAATATGTAGTCCCCGACGACCCTCGTCCCGCCGACCCCTCCCCTCCCGGCGCCGCCGCCGCCGAAAGCCGCCATCGCCACCGGAGCGGAAGCAACTACCGCGACGCCGCCCTGCTGTGCCTCTCCCGAGCCCTAGAAAACCTCGCAGCGCCCGAAACACGGGATGAAGAGCCCTCGGGGGGGAAGAATCCGGGGGGAACAGTCCAACAGCGGCGGAGCGGTGGCGGAGCGGCGGCGAGGAGGAGGCGCTATCAGATCTACCGCGGCGGACGATAGGATAGTAGTTGCGTTTCATTCCATGTCACCGTAGCCCCTCGGATAACGCAAGCTGTTTCCCTACATACCCACGCTTGTCCCTTTCAATTTATCGCGATTACCCGGGGGATTTATCGCGTCATGCGAGAAAATCCCCCCTCCAACCCACCTTCCTGTTGTTTTTTACTTTTTTTAAAAACACCGCACGTGCGAGAGAAGGACCCGCTCCCCCATGACGGGAGCCAGGTTCTTTTACTAATTAGCTTTTAAGAATAATAAATTAGTTTTTAAAATTAAAGTAAAATGATATTCTCGTTACCGGGGGTCCGGGCTCGATGCCGGTCTGGACCTTTTATGTCCAAAAGCCCAGAAATCAGGTTCCTAGTGGGCCCTTTTTATGCCCGGGCCCCATCCATTTAGGCCCGCCCCCGGGCTCTAGGACCAGTTCCCGAGTGGCCTGAACTAGAGATGCTTTTGGGTGGCCCGGCCCCGTTTCCCGGGCCGACCGTTGGGATTTATTCCGATGGCTGCGGTGGGGCCCACAAGAAAATCCTGACCGTCCAATCCCCGAGAGAAGGAAAGCGTTGACGCCGTCCGGGGGTCTGGACGCGGGGAGCTGAGCCCGCACTCGGAGAGAGAGAGAGAGAGAGAGAGAGAGAGTCTCACGCATTTTTAAAGACTTTTATTGGAGATGAAGTTCCTTAGGCGGGATTTCGGAAAGTAACGACGTGAGGGGGAAGAAAAACGGACAATGCTGACATTTCGAGGGCAAGTGAAGAACAAGTCAACGCGGAGAGGGACGACGTGGCAGAAAAAATGAGAGCTTTCCACACGGGCTAAGAGGGACGCTCACCTCTTCAGCAATCTCAGCACATCGCCCACCAGATGCAGGGACCCGGTCACCAGCACCTAAACGGCGAGGAAGCCAACAAAACCCGCGGGTCAACGGGCAGAGGTCCGGAAGGAAGGCCGCAGCCAAAAAAAACTTGTCTTTTTCTGCATACCTGGAAACGAACGATCTGATTCTGCTGGGAGCCGTCTCTCAGCCACTTGATAGCCAGAGGGAGAGAAGGAAATACGCAGCTCCTCGTGTACTCCGCGGCATCCGGCCGGGCATCTTCCTTGGCCTCGTTGACCGAATCTGGAATCACATTGAGACAGAACAAGGCTCCCCCTGAGCATACCGATCGATGCCTATTCATATTTTTTTTCTTGGTTTGTGAAATTCAAGCATCCCGGATCAAAACCCTTTTGACTTTCAGCGCGAAGCAGGAGGATACCTCTGTCTCCGCCATGGAGGCTCTCCCACGCTCTCTGGAGTGTCCTCTGCCATGAGAGATCAACCTGAGGACTGTCCGCCGGCGGCGAGTGGGAGCCCACCTGGTTGAATGCTGACTGGCTGGGGACAAAGATGGCCTTGTGGAAGTGGACCCCTGGAATCCAATCGCAAGGAGGGCGGATTATGCAGCAACCCATGGCAGAATCGGCATCTTCAGAACAAAAGGAGGCATCGATTACCATGATTAGAGCAGGTATTCAGCAAGCGCGGGAGAAGCAACCGAGGGTCTCTCTGAGGCATGCAATTAAACAAAAGGATCTGCAGTTCGTCTGGTTTTAGCATCACCTACAAGAACACACACACACACACAAAGAAGAAAGAAAGAAGAAAAGCAATCTGTCACCTGCTGGGCATTGGCATTATCGTCCAACCTCCCTTCCCCCGGGCCCTCCTCCTGGGAGTCTTCCTTGATGATGGAAGAAAACCATTTCGCGCACATTTCCATGCTCTCTGGGCTGTGAGCACCGTCCAAATAGAAAACCAGAGGCCTGAAACCAGAATTCCTTGGACCCTGATGGCTGACGACCGGGTCAACGACGACTTGGGCGCGGCCCTGCATCTGGCTTGTCGCCAGCCCTCTGATGAACTGCTCGGGTAGATCGGCCTGCGCCAAATGGAAAACAGAGGATCATCTTCTCTGTATAGCATAGAGAAGGAGAAATTTCTTCAGAAGGATACTCACGCCACATGGAAGAAGGGCCTCCCCCATATTTCCAGTCCTTTGGAGCCAGGTGCGACACAAGACGACCGCAAGGCCCGCATTTGCATATTGATGCTCCCCTTGGAGCCCAAGCTTCTGGCCCTTTAGTGACCATGTATCCAGCGGCGGCGCCACCTCCAGAGGGATCTATCAGGTGCACGGTTTCAGAGCAGAAGTAAATGTCTACGTATTAGCCTGGGAGCCAAGGAACTTACTCCCAGCTGGGAGGCCTTCTCCTTGAGGGCGGCCATTGCTTCTTCGGGCTGAGGGACAGTGAAGGCCGGAACGCCATGCTGTGATGAAATGAAAGGAGAAATTGAGATGGCATAGAGGTTCTGAAACACGGTCCAGAGAGCTGTTCTCTGAGAGTTCACTGCAGAGGAAAACCTTGAGGATGCCGGCCTTCTCCCCGGCGATTTCTCTGAGCGTGTTTCCTGTCCAGCCCGGCAAAGGATGAACCAGACATTGTCAAATAACTGTTGCCGAAGAGAAAACAGCTGCAGCATGTGATGAGGAAAACCACTCGAGGCTAGATATCTCAGTCCATCCAGAAATAGATCCGAAAAACCCAGATTTTTCATATGCCTGATAGATAGATAGATAGATAGATAGATAGTAGGGGTGATTAGGAAGAAAGCAGAGACTTGGTGCCAGATAAATTACCAAGAATTTCCATGTGGTCATAGCCCAGAGAAGAAATTCCGCAGACAACAGGTGCCTGCACCTGAAGAACAAGTACCGATAGTCAACCCCGGGCCCACTCGATTCAAAAAGTCGGCATGAGAAGGAGAAACCAGATGCTCGTGATCTTGTTTTCAACAGAGCCCAATTGGATAAAGAGAAGATATTGAACGGCGACGAATCGATGACTCACGCACCACATTAGTTGCGTCGAACTTTCCGCCCAGGCCGACTTCTAGAATTGCCACATCTACCTTCATGGAGAAAGTGTAGATCAGGTGAGGGGGCTCATTCCCGAATCCTTCATTTTTTTAGAGAAGCATTTCTGTTTCATAACTCAAAAATTCTCCTCAGACTAATAAACAGCATACGTTTAGAACACATTATTCACATCACTGTCATCAATTAATCTCCTGGGAGGAGGAACTACTAATCGCTGAGATTATTCACTGGCTTGAACATCTTCCACATCCCCACGCAGAGGAGACCCACCCTTCCATAGTTGGTGCTAAAGTAGCAAGGTCAAAGTCTCCAACAAAGATCCGACGAGCCAGACAAGTCAACCCTCGTTGTGTCGACGTTTACCCAGACTTGAGTCTGAATCGTCTGATCTAATGTGGAACTCAATGAAGGGTTGTGATAAAGGAGGTGGTGACAAGAAAAGAAAACATTTTTTTGATCACTTAACCTGTTCTCTGCAATATCTTGCCCAACAGAAGGCAAGATATTGACCTGATAAAGATTCTAAGTCTCCTACAGAGGATATCTGGAGCTGGGGAGCCTTGAAGAACGGCAAGTTTGCAAAACACTGTCGCAAAACAGCTTGTCTAGACTTCATTCATCTACTGAAACTGTTGAGACATGATTTCAAAGTTACCCAAGATCGCTCTCTCTCTCTCTCTCTCTCTCTCTCTCTCTTTTCATATCTTGGTGTGCGTTTCTGATTGTCATCCACTGAGCTGATTAGCAGCATCATAAGAGGTCGGTTTGTTCTTTCTTCCACCTCCTGCACGTCGTCTCAACTCATTCAGGAAATTGCGAGACATCACGAGAACTGAACCACTGTGACTACAGGTCCAGTAGAAACCATGCGGGGAAGTAGAAAGAAACACGACCTTGCTCCACGGCTGTTGACAAAAAACGACGACTTTCTGATAGATAATGATGATGGGTGCTATGACAACTGTATGGAAACCATATTCTCAACAAAGGGGCCAGAGAAAAATGGCTGTAGAACGGACCTTCTCAGCGGCGAATATCTTGAACGCAAGCAGGGCAAGGAACCGGAAATAGGAGGGCATGGGAACATCTTCGTTGGTTTTCTCCTGCGAACCAGCTGGTAGAATCATGAAAGAGGGAGAAAGAATATAGCGAGCAGGCATTATCGTGGAGGCAAGAAGATCGGTAATCATTGAAGAGGACGGCGAGGTCGCTCCTCGGAGAGGAGAAGAGACCGCCGTATCAGACGATGTAAGCCGGCAGAAATCCTCGGAAACTGGAAACGGTGTGAATGGTGTTTGCCCACCTGCAGTCTGCGCCAGCACCACCAGAAGTACTCCAAAAACTTCTCCTCGGAGATATCGCATCTATGGAATCCGACCAGCATTTAGGCAATTGGGAAGGGCTAATTCCGAGGAACCGGCCACGCCGCCGAGAGCACAGCAATGAGATCGACGTTAGCTTGTGTTCTAGGAGCTCACCCGTCCAGTCGGAACCTCTCGCGCACGTCGATCAGGTGAGGAGACGTGAAGAGCCCGGTGCGAAAGCCGCAGCAGCGAAGAATGGACTCGGAGAACGTGCACGTCGAACCCTAGGTCGGCAGATACCCCGTTCATCAGCCCAGCGCAGGGAACGGAGATCCAGAGAGGAAACAATTCACTCGGCGAGTCTGCTGTTACCTTCCCTTTTGTTCCAGCGACATGGATGACTCGCAGCTGAGAAATCGGGCCTTCCAATTCTAGAATCTACATCGTCGAGCACCCGACGAATTCAAAATGAAATCTACCGACACCAATCTGGGAGAAGAAGAAGAAGAAGAAGAAGAAGAAGCGGAAGGCAAAATTAAACCTTGATGTAGTCGAAAAGCAAATCAAAATGATCCCCTTTGTTGGCGCCGTCGGCCCGGGTGCGCCGGGTGATGAGGGAGGACAAGCAGGCCAACGCCTCCTCGTAAGGGGAAGCTTGCCGTCCCCTCTCCTCCGCGGCCCGAGCTCCGGCATCTACTTCGCACGAAAACAGGGGATGTGGGGAGATACAGGAAGGCTCCGAACAAGAGACGAGAGGAAGGGGAGGGAACCACGCACCTTCGGCCATGTCCGGAAGGACGCCCGGGGGCCAGGGAAGAAGCCGGGGGAGAGGGAGGAGCTTCCCCGTCGAGCAGGGACGGGCGACGGTTGGCGGCGGGATTGACGGCGCAGCTGCCTGCCACGGGAGTGTGGGATAACAGTCGATCTGTTATGTGCTGTACTACCCACACAGTCTGAAAAAATATATTAAATATATTAAATATATTAAAAAACGCTCTTTTTCAGGCTGCAGTTTTCATACAAATATGATGCAAACATGAGCACGAATTTCACTATTTTCGGGTTATATTTCTATTCCAAAAAAATGCATACTTTTTTGAGAGATAAGTCCTTTTGAATATTTATATATATATATATATAAAGAGATTTGTGCGGGGATTAACAACTGATTATCATGATATAGTTTCCCCAGATAAATCCATTTTAATCTATTTTTAGTATTTTTAATTTGAAGGGGGGGAAAAACACTTCAATTTACTGGTCAAGGAAAAGGCTCTTAATCTGAGGAAATACGTGAAATAGTCAACGCGGCTATTATTCGCCTAGAGAGATGGCTCTTCAAAGTACTTTGATGCGACATATAAATTGACCAGGAGAGGAATCCCTACTCATTAAAAAGGTCGGCCACGTCGTGAGGATACCTCGCTACGTATAATTTGCTACCCACAAAATAACTTATTTTTAGTAAGAAAACCCACCCACTGCGCACGATGAAACGCTGCACGACAAGGATGAGAGAGAGAGAGAGAGAGAGAGAGAGAGAGTAGAACTTGCACACCTTGTCTTATTGCACAGAAAGGTACGACGCAAATGACTGAACGGGGTATCCAATTACCGGCTTTTGGACCCCATAAAGGAGCCCACTTCTGAGCTCCCACACTACTCGGGCCCAACAGACGGCCCATAGGGGGGCTTCTTGGGTCGATGATGACGACCCATCAGCCCAAAGAGACACGCCTCCTCCTCCTCCTCCGGTATGTTATTATCGCGTTAAGCTATGATTTTAAACGGTAATTTATCCTGGTTAGCTACTATGATCGTCAACGTTCATAAATAAAATCTCTGCAGTCTGCCATTCAAAAATGGTCACACAGAGATCACAACCGGGCATAAATATCCATCCAGGGCGGGTGGTTTATTGGGAGATGAAGACGGGCGTCCATGCCGGGGGATTCCTACGGTTGGAGGGGACCTGAAGATGAGCACTGAAAGAGAGAGAAGAGCGTACCCGGCAGGCTTTCTTCTTCCACGCGACAGCTGAGCGGCTCCTCTGAGTTTCAGACGAAGCGAGGGCAATCAGGAAGGATGACAGAGAGAGAGAGAGAGAGAGAGAAGTGCTACGTACCCCTAGAGAAGATTCTTGTGGGTATAAAGAACCCCTTTATCGCCGTCCACCGCCTGGCCATGGCCTCTCAAGATCCTGGATTGCATTTCGCCAGATGGAGAAATCAACAGCCGATTACGAGTATTGCAACGGATTAGAAGCTTGACATGGGTTACTTACCATCGCGTCGTCAAGAGCCCCTCCACTCCAACAGGGCCTCTGGCATGGATTCTGCCTGTACTTATACCGACCTTCTCAAGAATTAAAGTAGATAAATAAATAAATAAATACAAATGGCAATCGGAGATTTCAATTCAGAGCTAAGAAAGCTCAAGATAGCTCAACTGACCTCTGCGCCAAGCCCAAAACGAGCTCCATCACAAAAGCGGGTGCTTGCATTGTGAAATACAGCCGCACTGCAGGAAAAACAGAGCACAGTCATGGCTCTTATAACATTAAAAAAATAAATATAATATCAAATCCATCGAGCCAATATGATCATATAATTGGCAGACTAATCTGGGCAGGATCCGGACTTCTAGATGGTTCAGGCTGTTCTGATTCAGAACCTATTTACTACAATTTCCACGATTTTTTTTAGGCTTAATTTGATTGCATCATCGAAGAAAATAAAAAATCATGAAGACGACAGGTATCCGGATACATGAAAGTCAGCGAGGAAATTAATAAATGATGATTTTAAAACTTCAGTAAAAAAGACAGAAGAAAAGGGGGGGACCAGCAAACCTGTCAACCCCTCTCAGGAACGACTCTGCAACTTCCTCATCCTCGGCAACTACGCAATCAGTGTGGGCACTGCAACACAAGGTGGCAGTTAGATTACAGACCCGCTTCCACCTCACATTGCGCCGCTATGGATTTTACAATTTCCTCGAGATGTCATAATATTTGCACAAAGAGTTGGAAAAGAATACCTTCCATGGCTATGTATGTGGTTGATAGCAGCAACGACGTCGTCCACTATCTCAATTGTACAGGCCATTGTATTGTATTCGTGATGAAAAGAACCAGCCTGAGGGATGTCTAGTTCAGCACTAGCTCTGGGTCCTCCATAGAGGGTAACTCCTGAAGCGAAGATATATTTTCATGACAACGGAAGAAACAAGAAAAGATGTAAGAAAGATACCCAAAATGATTGCGCACGGAGAAATGATTTTTTTAAGGAATCAATGAGAATTGTAACGATTTTCAACTTCGCTGGCGTTTTGAAAAGCTACTGTGCTCACAAACGAGAAGAACCTGAGGATGACGTGGATTGAAAGGAAATCCCCCAAGTAAGATTTATTTATTTATTATATTATTTATAATTAAACTGGAATGAAAACGGAAGCAGGTCTGTCGAGTGATGCCCAAATATAGGGATTTTAGTTCCAAATTATTGAATTTTTCAGCATCATCCCTATCACATTTATTTCACAATCACATAGGTAATAAACATAGATCGAGTCCCCTTTATGGAGTTTCACTAGCTTACTCATTTAGAGTTTTAAAATCCTTTTCTTCTGTTAGGTAGTCCAATTTACTTGAGGGGAAGAGATAAACCTGTCCCAATCCAGATGTTAAAGCACGTTGTACCATCTATTACTTTTCTATATTACGAGACAGTTATAATGCCTCATATTGAGATCCTCTCCGCATCAAGTAGCTTCCAACACAACAACACGAGGCCCGCCAATTGAATGCAGATTATGGTGACGTGATGAAACAACTTGTGGCTTTGAATATTGAAAAACTGTCCGCTTATGCAGTACCAAGACTTTTTTCAATACAATATCGACACATGTGTGCGAAAATTTTACGATCAGTCGATTCGTAGAGATTTCTGCCTTTAAATCAACAGAAGCGAGACTATAAACGACATTAATGCGATCTAAGTTGAAAATCGTACCTTCAAGTCTCAACGCCATAACAAGGTCATTAATCTGTCCACCCTTTACAAGATCCTGGTGTACAAGAAGTGTTTCCTGCGGATAGAATCATCCAAAGGTCAAGTGTGTTGCTATGCCACTAGTGAAACTTATACTATCGGCCATTAGACTATGTAGCAATCAGCCACAATAGTAGAAAAGAAATGTCACCAGAAAAAAAAAGGTATTTAATCAAGAATAAAAGAATCAGAAGATACCATAGCATTACAAGCGGCTGGATAATCTGTCTTTGCATCCAAGATGATTTTCCTCGCCATTTCAATATCAGCAGATTTATCAACATAAACATGGCAAATACCATCTGGACAACACTCACGCATGTGAACCATAAGATTATAAGAATGATGTACGAGTTTCAATAACATATCATTAAAAGATAAATAAGAAAAAAACATTGCATCTTACCAGCGTGGCCAAGGACAGGAATCTTGGTAGCTTCCTTGATCTGAGAAACAAGTTTATTGCTTCCTCTTGGGATCACAAGATCTATCACATCATCAAGCTGAAGAAGAATATAGAATAAGATAAGAATAATGTTCAATAGATAATGAATTGCCAAATAAACAGTAAGTATTCAGATCAACTCTTCACCTTCAGCAGATCAGGAATCTCATCTCTTGAGGTAACGAGTGCAATAAGCTTTTCACCAACGGCCTGTGGGATGGCTCCAGTGATCACCTGTTTGAAATACATATGTACATCATTTCAAAATATAGACTATTACATCATCAGAAGAAAGATGAGAGACATAAGGAAGGTGAGTAAATTCTTCCTAGAATAAGATGAGGGATGGGCTTCAGGAAACTGAACCTTATGCAAGACAGCATTAGACCTCGCTGCTTCTTTTCCACCCTTTAGAAGAAGTCCGTTGCCACTACGGAGCGCTAATGAGGCAATCTGTTTCATTCCAGGGAAACTAAACGTCTCAATCAACAGAATATTTCATGAGATCAGACAAAAGGCACAGAATCAAAAATGAAAAAAAAAACAAAAGCCTGAGGCACAGTCAGTAATATGTGAGTTCGACCAAGGTTGTGCAACGAGTCAAATGACTACAGTTCAAGATAAGATAAGAAATTAAAGATGAATTTGGTCCCTATCACGAAGTTCTATTTCACGTTCGAATACTTTACCTGAACAAGGGCATCAGGGCGAGACTCAAAAACAATCAGGAGGACACCCAGGGGACATGCTGTTTTCTCCAATACCAGTCCATCAGCAAGCTGGAAGCATATTGCACATCAAATCTTCGAGGTGGCACTGGATAAAACGTCAAAAGGTCTACGCATATAGGCCATTAATATCTATCCATTCGTAGCTGGAGAATAATGCTGATTTTCCACGTCCTTCTAACCCTCCGTAAAAAGAAGAATTCAAATTCCAATCTTGCATCCCGTATTCTTACCTCTGTTCGTTTCAGGACTTGTCCTATTGGTTCTTCCATGTCTGCGAGCACACGAATAGAGTTTGCTAGGCTTGATATCTGTGAATTAAGAACTTTACGCTTTGAGAGAACCACCAAGGAGAAAGTAAAATTGAAAATACATATTAGCACCGCGACAGATATACTTACTGATATAATATAAATAGTATAAAATATTCGGAGTGATAAATTTTTACCCAATAAATAATTTGGTAAAATCATGATTTACTGAATGTCCACTTGCCTTTCCTGGCTTTAAAGTCAGTCGAGAAACCAACGATTTTTCATATCCAGCCAGCTTTGCAGCAGCAACATCAGCTTCGTTCTCCGTTCTGATCAACTTTTCATTTGCCTCAAGTGCATCAGCAACATCAAGCAAAATTTTTTTACGTTCTTCTGAGGATAAGTTCTGTAAAAATATGATAGAGTTCTCAACTAAAAGGGTACCAGGAAAAAAATAATAGATTTCAGACCAAATGGTGACGTTAATATGGACAAATGATTCACAAGGTGCGAAGCATGCAAACATGTCCCCTGGGTGTCCTCCTTGAGGGTAACAAGGAGCGAAATATGCAGAAAAAAATCACGAAAAAAAAGATTTATAATCACCTGAAAGCGCCTAGAACATTCTCGAGCTGAAACTGCCATGTCACGTGCACCAATTTCTTTCAGGGAAACCAACTTTTCTGCGTGCTGATGAAAGAGAGTACCAACTCTTTCTCCCTTGAGTACTTTTAAGATGCCATCACTAGCATAACCGCTTCAATAATGATTCACAGATGAATCAGTCTTTGTCAGGCAGACAAGTACATCTCTTCTGAGTATGAAACCAAAAATGAATCCTATTTATAATTCACAATCTTACCCAATTCCTCCAAAGCAGGATGTACAATAAGGACGGATTAAATTCACAATCAACCAGATAGATATGCCACATTGGGATCAAAACTACGAGAAAAAGTGCACTCACAGGGCAGCATGATATCGAATCTTTTCATTGGAACATAATTATATCCTAGTATGTATCAAAGCATCCATTAGCCTTACTTTGGATTAAGATAAAAAATTCCTAATCTGGTTACAAGCAGGAAATCTGAATTCAGCCAACTAAATCGTGATTACCCGAGTTTAACCAATTTTATGATCTGCACACACCAAATCTGCCACGATCACTTCAAATTGGAAAAGCAAACAGAAACAAGTGATCTCTGAAGATTCTGGGCAATGTCCTAAAAGATAGGAAATTCCTAGGATCGGTCCAGCCTGATTCACAAATTGATTCTGATTTCGAATATTTTAGAAAACTTTTTAGGAGCCTGGGTTTTAAAGAGGCCTCTGCTAAAATCAGTAGTATTCTGCTCCTGCTCAAGATTGACTCAAATGTTCTGAGACAAATTCGTCGCCCATTTGCTGCTTTCATAGATTCCTCTTCGGCCCATAGGTATGCAAAATGAAGCGTGGTTGTAGGAAATATAAACAGGAGGGAAGGTGAATGCGACTGCTGATTCTGTTGCCATGCTCAGCAATCGTTACCTCTGCCCTGTAGTTGATTTTGTACAATGATGAGTACCATTTTTATAGCCGCATGCCCCAACCATCACTCAAGATGAGAAAATTGTTTCCTTTTGGGTGCTGCACTTCTGATGGCACGTGGGTCTACCATCTGCTGCTTCACTGTCTAAACTTCTGTATTTGCAAGAGAAACCATGTGAGCAGCAACAAGTTCCCTTTTCTGTCTCTCCTTTATATCTTCAAACTTCTTCGCCCCATTTTCTTTCACACAACAGCCAACATTCTGGGACCCGAATCTAAGGGGGTGCCTCAGAAATTTCTCAGTACATAATAAACTGTTATTCACACTGCGCACCAACCCAGCAGGTTCCCAGCTCGCACACTAAATGACCAGATACGCACAGTATCTCTAACACGTACCAGAATGAATCAATCAATCCAGGGATTAAAGGAACAGATAAATTGTTTCCATCACGGACGGACAGCATGGTATCGTGGAAAGCTCACGAATTATGAGAACAAAAATAGTATATCACCAATAGTGGCAAGAAGAAAAATCACGAAAGTTCATCTGTTCACAAGCTACAGCACAAAAGTAAACGCGAGTCCACTAATGCTCCTCCTCTCTACTCTGAGAGAGAGGGAGAGAGAGAAAGAGAGAGAGAGAGAGGACATGTCAAGTCAAGGCAGAAAAACAAACCTAGAGATAACAACTGGTATGCCGGCAGAAGCAGCACAAACAGCAGCTTTCACCTTAGCAGTCATACCCCCTCTTCCTACACGAGACTTGCTCCCAAAAGTAATCTTTGCTTGATGCACTTCCTTTATGTAAGTGTGAATGATCTTTGAACCGGGCTCACTGGGAGGACCGCTGTAAAGTCCTTCCACATCACTCAATAGAACAAGCAAATCTGCTTTTAATTCCAAAGCTAATAGACCAGCCAAGCTGTCATTATCCCAGAATATACCTGATGAATCCTGCACAAAGAGACAACCTCAGATTATTATGTACCAAAAGAAATCCTGATGCATGTTGTCACACTTTTAATCAAATTCATGCAAAATCTGAAAAAAAATCTCCAACACGAGGAATATAACTGTGAAACCACTGTGAACATAAATACTTCAAGATTGAACCAATTTCAATTAAAATTGGTGATCCAGCCACCCGACATGCTGTTTTCTCAGTTTCTTATTTTATTCATTTTCCATCTTTTATTCATCCTGAAGTTCCTCAATCTGGAAACAAATTGTGATCGTAAACTGGATCCAGTTGATATCCCTAAATCAGTCGTATCATCACTATTCTTGACATAAATTGAGTTATCATCGAACACCAAAAAATGAATGAACCAAGGATAATCATTCCACGATGACAAAATACGAGGAAAGTTTTTGATCAATCGGGGAAAACAGAGCTTACTCCTATCCTTTTAGGATCATGTTTTCTTTGTCAGCCTAATGAAAATTTTAAACATCTTTTGCTCTTGTTAATTTAGACATTTATGCCCAAGATAAATACGTGCGCTCTCTCTTGGTGGCAATTCATGGCTTAACATTGTACTCAAACAATATACCTCATATGGAGCTCGTCTGGTACTGATTGCATCATTTTCATTGAAAATAGGTATAACCTTCAGATCTAGCAACGAATTCACTGTCTCAGAAAGCTGCATTCTGAAATTTGTATCTTCAAAGTCCTTGTCAGTAACAAGAAGCTGCGACGATGCCACATCCAGCTGTCACAATAGTGCATCACACCATAAGAATTGAGAATTATGAGAAACACGTTAACTTCTAGACACTGAAATAGAAAGAATTAGGAATGCACTGACGAAGTTCACGAGAATTAAGAATCAATAAAACAATATGAGCGATCCAAGTTATAAAGTAAAGCAAAATAAAGCAGGAGTCTTCACCTGACTAAACAAGGCATCATAAAGTGCCATGAGGCCACTTTGTCCAACAGCTGCACATGCTTTCCCATCAAGGTCTACTTGTGGTTTCTGAAGATCAGCAAAGCTGCAAAAGGAAGAGGTTGGAGAATACTAAATAGTAGAAGTCTAGTATCACCATATCTTCTCTGGAGACATCCAAAGTTTTTCCATGCCTGAAATAAGTTTCCTTCTGGATTCTTCGGTTAAAATGGAGCAGGGCCTCGTAAAGAATGCTCAAAATTACTGTAGTCGGTTACACATAACTAACAGCTAAGTGCTAGGATGCCTTATGCTATAGCATATTTTAGGCTTGTCCGCTTGCAAGGTGAGGCTGTGTTTCAATTTGCTTTCACAGATTATCAACACAGAATCAAGCAGCTAGCATATACTGATCATTTCCTGCTGTAAGCTGTGCTTTTTTATCAACCAACTTTCCTCAAACGTTACAATCGTTTTTAAAATTTCTAAAAATGTCTATTCAAAGGAAAGTTCACCAACTGCATAGTTTTTATCAGTTCAATAATCTGAAAGGAGTCAATAAAGACAACTTATATTCGTCAACATCCTGACTGCGACATAAGTAAGATTTATACCATGAAAAAAAAAGCTATATACAACTTAATTCTAAATAATTGAATATATGATGATGGTGCTACCATAAAGACAAACAAAATAAAAAACATAACTTTCTTGAAAGACCACCAATTTGACCTGTCACGTTGATATCGAATCACATTTGTGCTGTTTCCATCATAATGGCATCACATGGAGACAGCCTTTGGCTGCAAACCCAGCTAGTAATAGCAAACAGAGATGATGAAAAAAAGATGAAGGGAGCAAACGAGAGGAAGACAAGAAAGGGGGAAAATGCAAATTAGAACAAATGAATGAGGTGTCAGGAACAAGAGGAATCTTAACCGCAGTTTTCAAGCTGCAACAAAACTCAAAAAAATAAGAGAAAAGCTCAAGAGCATCATAACGCTGCTTCCCTCCCTGTGTTCCAGGTTAAAAAATAAATTTTCTCTTTTTAAAAATCTCTATAGAATATTCCAATTTCAATGCACATAATCGTGTTCTCTTATTCTGATGATGTAGTATAGCATACACCTGTCTGTAATCAGCATATCCTCGCCTGCTATATTTATACAATTATGCTTAGTCCATCAAAGCATCCGATAAAGAAATATGTTGGATAGGAACAGAGAAATAAATGATATAATGATATATAACTAACCTGCTGTTAACTAATCTTCTATATCTCAGCCTTTGGCGGCCAACTCCAACAGCCCCTGAAGTAACCAGAATGACCTCGTAACCTTGATAGTTCAATTCTTTGATCTACAGAAAATTAACATTTTGTTGGCCAATAATCATGAGCCTAAAATTTTTACACAACACATATGAAACTAAAAATATATGGACTTGGAGGCAGCATCCTGTCCAGTAGCTTCACAAACCTGCTCGCAAAGGCACCCTATTCTTCCAAGTGCCAATCTTCCATCTGATCTAGTAACAACAGCTGTTCCGACCTTTATACCATTAAAGAGAGATGAAAATATAAGAAGCCAATGTATCCAAATGAAAAGCCTATCGTTTTACCAAAGAGGAAGCGAGGAAAATCCAAATGCCGAAAAAGGAAGTATATACAAGCAGAAAAACGGTTTCATTAGAGGTTACCGCAGAAAAACGCAAAAATGTCACGATAAAACTCGTTTCATGTTATGCTTGCTGACGTTAGAGCCTCTTTTTCTGAAGATGATTGCCAACCTGCCGTTCATTGAGACGGCACGCGTCGCCGCGTCACACGACGCAGTAATGAGAACAAATAGCCTTCTTTCTTCTCTGGAGAAGCTTTCACTAGACGTAAAATCGCTATACGTAAAAGGCAGGAGTTCGGATCTCATAAAGCTCGGATATAACACGATTTGGTGCGTCTACCGTGAAGTCGAGCGAACTAAAAATTGCTCAAAAAAATACGAGAGAAAGCCTGACGTTAACACAGGATACATGATCAATTTCTCGCTGAAAAAGAGAATGAGCAATCGACTCAGACACGAACCACACAGCACAAATATGTCACATAAAGGGAAAAGTCGAAAACAACGGAGATCTACAGTTAAATCCTCGAAAACAATAATTAAAGCGAGAATCCAACGAAGGAATGCGAATTGACGCCGCCTCAGCAAACCTTAATGACGACACGCTTCACGTCCTTGACGAAATCCCGGGAGGAATCCATGGCCGCCATTCCGTATACGAACGAGGGAGGACCTCACCGCCCCGGTCCCGTAGTAGCGTTCTCCCTCCGACGCACTCTCTGCGCCTCCCGTCAGCGCATAGTGAAGATGCCGACCTCCTGCCACGTGGCGTTTCAGTTCGGCCTCGAAGCGCGATATCCGAATTGCCAGAAACGGACTACAAAACCGGAACCCTAATGCCTACGTACCCTCTGCTGTCGGATCCAATTTTCGGGGCAGTGGACCTGGTGAGCCCTGAGTCGGGCCTCGATCCGACTTAGCTTCTCCAATTTGGGCCGAGGGATTAAGACAGCCGTCAGCCTGTTAAGGAAGGTGGGCGTAATGAAAATAGGCCAAGTGCTTCAGGGTTGGATCATTATACGGCCCAGATAGAATACAGGGCCCAAGAGATTAGGGGCTCTTTTCAAAATTCATAGAATAATATTGTTTAAATAAAAATAAATTATTTATTAGTGGGGTAAATTGAAACTGTTATCACGGCTTCCCCCTCAGGCGGGGGAATCTTATAATCTTGTCTCCTCCTCCTTTTGGCTTCCGACAGCGTAGCTCGACGGAAATCGAAGCACGCCTGGAGCCTAGGGTTTTGCTCCGATCTGCTTGCTGTTCGCGTCCGCAGCGTTGACATCTTCTTGGTTCGAGGTTGGGAAAAGATTGTCATCTCCGCGGCCGGTGGAACTGGGACCGGGCGAGGGAGAGGTGAATTGTGGGGATGGATTGGGGAAACGTGACAGCGGAGGACTTGGTGGATGCACTGCGGGAGGTAGATTGGTCGTCACCACCTCGCCCTGTCTCAGAGTTCTTCCATCGGTTCACTTTCCCAAGATCTCTCGCCAAATGGGACAGCCGAGTGAAATGTAACCTCTACTAGTAAGATTTCTTCCGGCTCTGGTCCGTAGCCTATCTCCATCTCTGTATGGCTCCATCGGTGTCCTGATCGATCGCTGACTGCTTCTTTTTGGAACCCTAATTTGATCTTGATCGTCTCTTTTCGGGCCATCTAAGAATTCTCGATTCCTATTCATAAACTCGAAGCTCTGGCTTTCCCCGTGAAACGACTGCCAGGTCTTTTATGTCGTATATCGCAAGTGGTTTGTTACCCTTTGAGTAAAACCATTCTCCTTGATGGACGAAATCTTTAATTTTTTGTAATTTGTACGGTGTCCCTTTTGCTGGAGAAATTCCTGTTCACGTGCCGATTATGGCGTTTCCTGTTACAGTTTTAGACTGCTCTGCTCAAAGAGATTGACCTTGTTCTTGAATTGTTGTCCTTTTGTTTCCAGCTATCGGACAAACTACTTCATTATGATTGTCTTCATCCTTGGTGAGTAAGGGACTTAAAAAAGGTGAACAACTTAACATCGCGATTAGTCCTACTCCTGTTGGCTAATAGCTCCCATATTTCTATGCATAGGTATTGGATTTCTTCGGAAGCCATTGGCTATTATTGCAGCCATTTTAACTGGATTGAGCATTGCATTTCTGAATGATAGGTAGATCTTCTGATCCATCTCAGTCTTAGGAAACTGTTTTTTTCTTTTTGGGTTCCTTTGTGCATGACAAGTAGGTTTAAGATGGCTTTCGTGATGCTTAAATTTCAAGTGTTACTTTGTATTCTTCGAGGCATGCATTGATTTTATTTATAATTAAAGCTTTCTTTTTTATTTAATGGTAGTTGACGCCCAAAGAAGCATTTATAAACCCTTTATTCACCTTATCTATGAACAATGAGGACCTTATTCCAGACACACTCTAGGAATTCTTCTGAACATGATCCTTTATTTATCAAAGATTACTTCATAATCCCTGCATATCACGTACATACTTTTTTACAAATTATGCAGTAATGACCGTATGCACTTTGGGTCGATTTCCATCCTCTTGCGTGATTATTTTGACAGAAGGAAAGAGAAGTACAATAGTCAATTTGGTTTTTACACATGAAGGTTTTATTTGGAAAACTTTGTATGAGAGGAGGGAGAATTTCAAATGTAGATGCCAATCACATGCTTATGAAACTTTCTGGCCATAACAGGTGCATATTCCTGCCAAGCCATTTTAGTCCTACTATACATGACCATGCTTTTGAAATGAGTCATTTCTAGAGTTTCATAGCCTCACATATATCCATTTCCCACGTTGCCAAATCATGCAATCGTGCTACTTGTCACCTGGGCTTTTTTAGGGATTCAAATATCTTCAGTACCTCTACTTCCCCATCTCGTTAACTACAATTGGCCTTTGTTTAAAGTTACACCACTGGGATTGTGCAGGACCACGTCAGGAAACAGTGAACTATAGTACGATTCCTTATTTTTTGAAAATTTTAAAATGATAAAGTGTATTATTTCGAAAAAATTAGGGATGAATGTAAAGTGGGACTATGGAGGAGCCTTTTGGAATCGATGGAACCTGGGACCAATATAGAGTATATGAGAGCAAGAATATGTGTCCTATTCAGTTGTATCATTGGATTGTCTCAAAATGAGTATTGGAAGTATCAAAATTCAATAATTGAGTTGGACGATGACATAAACAAGGACTTGCTCCAGTGGATTGTAACTGTCTACCTGAATAAGAGTAGCTTTTGGATCATCTTTTTTTTAGATTGAAATTCATACTTAATGAGATATACATTAACTACGGTATTTTCGAAGCCTTGTAGGCTATCCATTACCCTTTTTCTGTAATTAGCTGTATTCTTAATTCTAGAGAAAGATCAAATCTCTTTTGGGGCATTGCATATTGTGTACTTAGTACTTAAGTGCCATTGATTCATTTAATAATGTGATTATTTAGTTAATGTTGACAAAGTCTTTGTCCTTTAGACTAGCTAGCGTATTTTTTTCATTTCATTTACTTCCTAAATATTGTAAACACAGCTTTGCAGTTACTTTTAATGAGAAGGTAACGAGGGCTGTAAGACAAATTTCTCCGCACTTAGCTGCAAAGATGAGACCACCTGTCGTGTGAGTATGTCTGCCAATTTGCCATATCAATCATAATAGTGTGCGGGTGCAATGTACCCCTTGTTGGGAAATCTTGCTTAAGCCATAACATGCAGGCCTGTTATTCGTGGGAGGCCATCTGTGAAAAGGGCTATCCATATTTGTGGACGACCTCGGTGGATATTCGTCTTGATATTTTCTGCCGGTATTATCATTACCCCAGCCATCATTTGCATATAGCTGGTCCATGTGAAGAAATTATTATCATTTAATATACTTCTTGAAATAATCATTCAACAAACAACCAAATGATTGACAGTTCCCATTGTTGATTTCAGCTAGTTGCATATTGTGGATCACCTCCTGTAGACTCTTGACTGTTCTGTTGGCACTTCTCATTGGCCTAATTGGTAATTGTGCTGTCTAGTTACTCCCACTACTTCCTCGGATTTTAATTTTTTCTTTGGGGGTTTGATTATTCTCTCTTAATCTCTCCAGCGATGTTGCTCCATGCTAGCTTTAGAACGCCCAATCTGAAAGCACGCTTGAACACCTTCCGTGAGGAATTTCGTGCTGTATGGCGCAATTACAGTGAGCTCTAATACATCTGATGACCCTCTCTCAGTGGTGCAACCCCGAAAATGTCTCCCCCATCTGTTTCTTGCTTGTACATATTATATATGTGTGTATTAATTTCATCTTTTGATTTTGGGGACATGCTATTATGCTGGATTTTATGTCAGTTCCCCTTTATATTACTTGGTTCGGAAAATAATGCAATATCCAGCGGATTAGTGAGAAATTATCAGTTTGTTGGAACTAGTGTTGTTTCGAGCATATGGAGGTTGTATCTACGGGACAATGGCTGCTTGAATTCATAGAATTTAGTATCTGGTGCATGGTGCGATATTCGTAAAGTAGTGACATGAAAAAAATTAAGTCTTGTAACTGTGCAGTTGCCTCTATTGTTTACCTTCCATGTTGTGGGGGTCGTACATTGGGATGCATCTAATGCAGGCTGATATGCTTGTCAACAATTAGGCTCTCTCTCTCTCTCTCTCTCTCTCTCTCTCTCTCTCTCTCTCTCTCTCTCTCTCTCTCTCGATGTGCAATGGTACGCCTTTATGGGTAGAGTCACAATATTCGTGTGAATAAATTAAGTTCATGATGACAAAATTTTTAGGTGCTTCAATCCATTCTACTACTCCATTGATCAATCATTTTTGTGTAGTTTCAAGTCATAACCTAATGTTGAAGATATAATCAAGTTTGGTGTGCTGAAAGATGACCCTACTGCTTGTAGAGAAAAATGTATTCTCTCATTTGAAAATAAAAGTTCTCTTACACAAGGTGTGGAGTCTGGTATTTATAATTGTCCCCTAGAAGTTTCTAGATTAGTTGTATAACATAACAAACATGTTACTTTAGGGAATCTTTTAGACACATTTATTCTATCAACATTCTACCTCAAGTTGGTGAGTGAATGTCATCTATTTTCAGTTTTAAAATAATTTTTTTAGTTGTATGCCAAAGATATCTTTGGTACTCATGTACGTCAATTGATCATGTGTGAGATATATGACATCAATATCAAATTTACCTCTAGTTTTTCTTTGATGGTATAACAATCAAACTCCACATGTTTGGTATGATCATGTTGTATCAAATTATGCACAATATTAATCGTTTCCTTATTGTCACAGTATCATTTTGTAAGATCAATTAAATTGATATGTAGCTCATCAAGTAAGTTTTTCATAAAAAATGCTTACATATATCTTGAACAAGTTATCTAAATTCATCTTTATCATTTGAACATGCAATCATTTTTTGTTTCTTACTCTATGTAATAAGATTGCCTCTAATGAGTGTAAGGTGTCCAGAAGTCAAGATCTTCGATCAATCATTGTTCCTACATAATCATCATCAATATTTCAACTTCTACCTTCCCACTTCATCTAAAGAAGATCCATCCACATGATGTCTTTTAAGTAATATAACACTTTGATAGGCAATATGGGGATGAGATTCTTTTAGTTGATGCATGAATTGACTCAATATGTGGAGTATGCATCATATAATGTAGCCAACCAATGAGACATTGATGCATCTCACAATCAACATAAATATCTTCATCTGTTAGACATTATTTATGATTTGGACCAATAGGTGTGCTAGCTGGTCTATATGTTGATTTCCTCATATCCTTCAACAAATTTATTAGGTACTTACATCAGGAGGATAAAAATAAATCTAAAAGAGTGACCCACTTCGATGTCCAAAAACTATTTGAGCTGTCCCAATATTTTGATATCAAATTTTCTAACCGCATATTGGCTTCAATTGTATTTTCACATTATCATTTCTTATGATAATGATATCATTGACATAGTTAAAAGGATTGTAATTCATCGTGAAGAAGAGTGTTTAGAAAAAAGTTATGATCATATTACTTTGGCTATAATTCAATTTTTTTATGGCCTCTATAAATTATCCGATCGGGCTTGAGGTGGCTGTTTTGAGTTCATAGAGATACCTTTTTGGTCTATAAACAATATTTGATGAATGAAGTCCCTTATATCTTGTTAGAAGAGTCATATACACTTCTTAAGTAAGGCTACCATATAGGAAAGTGTTTTTAACATTGTATTATTATATATTTCAGCTGAAAAAATTATTGCTCAAGATAACAAGAGTCTAATGTTATGTATTTTTATCATAAGTGCAAAAGTTTCTTGATAATTAATATCTTAGAGTTGGGTATACTGTTTAACCACCAGCTTAGTTTTACATCTCTTTGTTGTGCCATCTGATCTATACTTTATTGTATACATTCATTTATACCCAACCACCTTATTATCTTTTGGTAATTCCACCATATCACATATTTGATTTTTTTCAAAGGTTTTTATTTTATCATTTATGGCTTGTTTCCATTTTTCTTGGATAGAGCTCTAAGACATTTGCTCTAATGGTAATGTTGTTTAAGAAGATGAAGGAGGATTGATAGGTAGGATAAGAAGTTGGCCAATGGGTACAAAGTTTCTTTGTGCACTATTCATTCTTTTCCTCAAGGCAATGGGAAGGAGGTTGCAATATGAAATATCTAGAATATCTTGATCAATAGGTTGTACAAATGAAGAATTTTAAATATTCTCTAAGGTCGAATTATATTCTTAAATTTGTATAGAGTTTTCAATCTTTGTTTTCCTAAAGTAAAAAATTTGCTAAATTTTACATTTTCAAGTAAATTTGGAATATAATTAATGTGCTCAATGACTAAAATGAGAACAAATATACTAGAGGAGTAAGTTGTTGAATTATCTAAATGATGATCAATATGATTTATAGAAAAGTTTTGATCATCATATGGAGATTTGTTAAAATATTATTATAATTCATGGAATGTTAACATCCATTGATGTAGAAAATTTCCAAGATGGAGGGTGGTAACATATGTATCCTTTTTTATTATTTTAATGTCCAATAAATATGTATTTAAGTTTTCATGGCTTTAATTTCCCTTTAGTTTGATTGTCATCATGAATAAAGAAACCACAATCAAATATATTGGGTTCTAATCTAGCTTTGATTTGATTATTAGAAAATACGCTGCTAACAAATCTATAGGTCTCTAGAAGCCTAACATTCTAGTTGGTAATCAATTGATAAGATATGTGGTTATTAAGATAATTGTACTACAATTTTTTTAACACATTATTCTAAAATAAAATTGATCAAGTTACTTTGAAAAGATGTTAATTCTTCCTCTCAACTAAGCTTTTATTGTGGGGTATATACCTTTATTTGGAAGTAAGAATTCAGACTTTTACTTACGTAGTATTTAATATTATCATATTTGAATTTTTTTATGCAAATTCTAAACTAATTTTTAATCATTGTAAAGAAAAAAAATTAGAGTATCAAAGATAGTATACTTATGCTTTAAAAGAAATGCCCACATGAAAAGAATATAGTCATCTATAAAGGTGGCAAACCAATTATTTCATAAAAAATCATTAGTAGGATATGGTTTCCAAATATCACTATAAATACAAAAGAATGTAGTCTTGCTCATTTCTTTGTGTGTATGAAAAGAAGCATGAGTGTGCTTAGATAATTCACATGCATCATACTTGTGTCTAAAGATTCCTTTCGAAATAAATCACAAAAATGATTTTTTAAAGTGTTGAAAGAAGGATGACCCCTTATTTTGTAGAGTAACTATATTTTTAGGAGGTATTTTTGAGGCTATACTTTCATTATGAATGTTTAGCTAAGTTTTTCTAAAATATAGTCATGCACACACTCTAATAACTCTAATTAATTGATGTTGTACCTTATCAATTATCATACAACAAATAGATAAGGTAAGATTAATTATTCACAGATTTTTTTATAAAGATGAAATTGCTAAATAACTTCAAGACATAAAGTACATCAATAAGGATTCTAAAGGACTCAACTCAGAAGTCTCATATACCAGCAACTATTATAAGGGAAGCATCAATAATTGATACTCTTCAATCATTATGACAAGGATTATATGTAATAAAGAGATGAGAAGAATTTGTCATATTATACGTTGCTCACGAGTCCACTACTCAATTATTAAAAATATCTTCATAAGGACTTTTAGTTTCAAAAGAGTAGTGAAACTTGGTTGAATCAATTATTATTGTGCCACAATTGGCTTCATTTTTTTTAATTCAACTTGAAGTCATTCTATCTCATCTAGTTGAATTAGAGGAGGTTGAGTTTTTTACAATTTTGATCGCAAGCTAGAAGTTTGATTAGTTGTAGTCCAACTGTCAAATGTGTTTTACTGTGATATTTTTTAGTGATGATGTTATGTGGTCTGTAGAGGAGTTTGAAACATCTATCTCTAATGTTATGAGGTTTTCAACAATATGTACTAGAAATTATCTCGAATAATAAACTTTGATTTTTTATTTGACCTAGATGAGGGTGTTAATTTGTAAATGTGAGTTTCTTCATAGTTTTTGTTTGTTTAGTCGTAAATGAAGTGCTATCTATATCAATCAGTGCTAGCATTAATTTATAACGGCTGTCCTCATTTACAATAATTAAAATAATCTCATCTATATCAGATTTTCTCTTATGGCTCAAAATCTGTTGTCTAACATGATAAAAAATTAAATTAAGTCCTGCAAAAAATTTCAAAAATATTTTTTGTTCTACGAAATTTTGTAGAACAACAATTTCTTGAAGGTTTTATATGTCAAGACTAAGATAATAATCACGTTCTTGTTTAAAACCTTTCAACTCTCCAACATATTCTATCATTGATTTATTTTCTTGAATTATAAACATGAATTGTGTCCCTAGTTCATATATATGAGCCTCATTATTCTTTTGTGGGAAATTTGTGTAGAGATTTTTCCACAAATATTTGATTATAAGCATGAAGAAAAAATCATGAATAATTTGGAGAATCATAGTTCTCCATACCCAAGTATTGATTAATATATATTTCTTTCTTTATCTATGAAATTCATGGGATGAGGAATCTAGTTTCACATCTAGCATGCAATGTAACATCCTTTCCCAATCAAAACCTCTCAAATATATTTTAACTATT